ACATGATCGTGTAAGTAGGAGAACAATAGCCAGGGCTGGTCTGCATGTTGACTGGAAGCTGGAAAGGCAGAAGGGCTTCTGATTCCTTGTGCTGGTATCCAATTCTGTGGCTTGGAGGACTCTCCCTAGAAACCTAATTGGGGAAGCATGGTCTGCTGGAATGCTAATGCTGCGAGCCCTTCCACCCTATGCTCAGGTTGCATATATGCATAGCTGTCAACCATCCCTTATTTGGCGGGAAACTCCCTTATTCCAGCGCTGTGTCCCGCTGCTGTCCCTTATTGATGATGTCCCTTAAATTTCCCAGGTTTCAAAGGAAGCAGCTCCTCTCCCTCCCTCCCTGCCGGCCAGGGAGGAGGGAGGCTCCAACTGTGTTGCTTGGCTGCCCGGCCCGGCCCGGCCCCCTCTGGCTTCCTCTCACCAGCCTCGGCCCCTGGGAGCCCCTCCCCGCCGGGAGTGGCAGGAGCCTCGTGCCCCTCCGCCGCCATCCTCCTCACGGCTGCCGAAGTGAGTGTCTCTGCCTGGGGCCTCCCCTCTGCCCGCCGCCGCCGCTCCCACTAGGCCGTACTGCGGCTGCGCCGCCGAAGAACCCAGATGAGATGGGCAGCCTGGCGTGGCCTATGAATTGCTAAGGAGCCTTGAGAGGAGAGCGAGGGCAACCATAGAGAAAGCAATTCAGAGAGAGGAGGCGGAGGCGGAGGCACGACAGAAAAGATACAGAACTGCAGCATCATCTTCGTAGCTTGGACTTTGTTTTGCGCGAAAAGTGGTTGCTGCTTATAGTTATTTAATTGCAGTGGTTCATCAGCTGGTGTCTTGAGCGGCAACCTCTGGAAACGAAGGGCTAAAAACTGGCGCTGCTCTCCAAAATTATCTGGTCCCTTTTAACTTTGTATTTCAGCCGGTTGACTAAAATCCCTTATTTTGGCTGCTGGTCCCTTATTTTCAAATCTGTAAGTTGACAGCTATGCATATATGTGTAAATAAAACCATATATCCTAAAGACACCACAGTCTCCATTGACCTTCATTCCAATGAAACCAAGCCCTGAGTAAGTGTTGGAACGGCTGGAGTCTCTCACCACTCTGAGATTTGGGGTACGCCCACCAGTGTGTTTTTATTTAAATTACAGACACTGCTTCTAAATTTGGATATATATAAACAAATTTTTTATTTGCATATGCAAATTCCATGCAAATCTGTACAATCTGTTGTTCTCTTTTTTTGGTTTTTGCATTACTTTTATTTCTTTCCTTTCCTCTTTTTGATGCATGTAATTGGCCAACTGGAATAGCAGTCCATGGCCCAAGTACATTGCAACAATTGGTCCCTTAATAACCATAAATAACTGCAATTGTGTCAAGATTTGTGCTTGGGCTTAGCTCCAAGAACTTTGAGTAGAACTAAATTAATAACATTTAATATATTTCTGTTTGAATTGTGGCTCCCTTGCTAATACAACCCAGAGAAATGGACACTTAGCTTTCTTGCTTCTCATATTAATTCCCTGAGGCCCTGCTCCATTATTTTTAGATTTTCAGCTGTTGCGCCTAATTTTTGAACTTAGTTTCACTTCTGCTTATGTTGCAATCTGGTTGTACTTCCGTCACATGAGATCTTGACTTTGCGAGTATCTGTGATAGATGCCCCATGAAAGTCATGGCTGGGCTCAGAGCAACAGTCGATCCTGGTATGAACGTCTGGGCACTTGAGTGGTTATTTATAAATCCGCTTCATTGTGCTCCTATTACAGGACGATCGGTGCAACTGGAGGTTTAAGGGCTATGCGTGTCTCATGCATTGGACTCCTCTTTTCCTGGAATCCAAGGAGACCACTACATCTTTTCCACCTAAAGCCAAGCCCAGTAATATATCTGCATTCTTAGGCTTCTCTTCAGGTCAGGAGACCAGCTTCTCTTATGTACACTCCTCAACTGTAAACATCAAACCAGATGTAAGCAATCCACGGTGTCAGACACTCCTGGGTTTAAGATGATGATGATAAAAATAATAGCAGTTTTATGGGACTCCAGTTTGGACCAGAACCAAACACGAGTTGGGTGGTAGGTTAATCTTCCCATAAGTCTGTGGCAGAACATGTGTGATGTAAATTTTAATGCACACATATACATTAAATTTTAGGGGACGCGGATGGCGCTGTGGTCTAAACTTCTGAGCCTAGGGCTTGCCAATCAGAAGGTCAGCGGTTCGAATCTCTGCGACGGGGTGAGCTCCCGTTGCTCGGTCCCTGCTCCTGCCAACCTATCAGTTCAAAAGCATATCAAAGTGCAAGTAGATAAATAGGTACTGCTCTGGCGGAAACGTAAACGGCGTTTCCGTGTGCTGCTCTGGTTCACCAGAAGCGGCTTAGTCATGCTGGCCACATGACCCGGTAGCTGTATGCCGGCTCCCTCGGGCAATAAAGCGAGATGAGCGCCGCAACCCCAGAGTCAGCCACGACTGGACCTAATGGTCAGGGGTCCCTTTACCTTTACCTTTACATTAAAGCAGGCATGTCCAAAGTCTGTTTCGGGGGCCTGATCCGGCCCGCCGATAGATTTACAGTGGTACCTCAGGTTAAGTACTTAATTCGTTCCGGAGGTCCGTTCTTAACCTGAAACTGTTCTTAACCTAAAGCACCACTTTAGCTAATGGGGCCTCCTGCTGCTGCTGCACCGCCGGAGCCCGATTTCTGTTCTTATCCTGAAGCCAAGTTCTTAACCTGAAGCACTATTTCTGGGTTAGTGGAGTGTGTAACCTGAAGTGTATGTAACCTGAAGTGTATGTAACCCAAGGTACCACTGTAATCTGGGCCCCGTGTGAGTATATGTCCTGGGGTAAAATTGGCCCTCACGCATGTTCACTTCATCAAATCTAGCCCTCTTTGAAATAAGTTTGGACACCCCTGCATTAAAGTTTCAAGTATACCTCTGAAATAAACAAACACACAATTTTGAAAATCATAAGGGATCCTTACCAGAGATGTCCCAGTGCACATCTGGCTTGACCCTTAACAGAGGTCATGACTAAAACAACATGAGATAATTAGTCTCAGAGTTGTGGGTTCAAGCCCCACGTTGGGCAAAATAATATCTTCCAGGGACCTTGTGCACTTAACTAAGCCATTACAGTGGTACCTTGGGTTAAGTACTTAATTCGTTCTGGAGGTCTGTTCTTAACCTGAAACTGTTCTTAACCTGAGGTACCACTTTAGCTAATGGGGCCTCCCGCTGCTGCCGCGCCGCCATAGCACGATTTCTGTTCTCATCCTGAAGCAAAGTTCTTAACCTGAAGCACTATTTCTGGGTTAGTGGAGTCTATGTAACCTGAAGCGTATGTAACCCGAGGTACCACTGTATGCTACATGCTTCAGCCACCCCCACCAGTGGATGTCAAAGATGTAGGGCAGGGAAATATGACATAGCGTCAGGAAGCCAAGAGGGCACACGGGTTAAGTTATCCAAGCTGGTTTGGAGGAGAAATAAGAAACTTAAGACGCTGGTGGGTTTCTTTATTTTGTTTTTCGTTTGGCAGCAACACTTGTTTTTTGTTTTGCTTCTTGCGATGTTCAGTTCTGCCCTGAAAGACGGTTCATCTTGCAACATTTTCTTGTGTCCAACATCACAGCTGCCCACGACACACTTTACAGTGCGAGAATAGAACGGAAAAATAGGTGCTTCGCCCCACTGACCCCCTACGGCGACTTATTGCTTATGCAATTCCGTTACATGAATGTTTACCTGAAAGCAAGTTCCACTGGGGTCAGTGGGGCTCCTTACCAGGTGAATGTGGGAAGGAGTTGCCGTGCTGATTTGCAAAGTGCCTTCTAATCTGCCTTTATCTCAGTGAAGACCTTACTTGGAAAATCTGAATGAAAAGATAACAACAGGGCAACTGACTTTTGGGTTTGGTGTGTGTGTGTCAGTAAACGAGGGGAATTAAGGCTAAGAGAGCTGAGTGGGGGTGCTTATGTAATCTCACTGTATACAAGTTGTACAGGTGACAATAAAGTATTTCCAAGTATTTTTAGTTTTGCATTAATGGGGGTCACTGTGCCTCGCATTTTACAAGGCTGAGGGTTCAGAACATGGGGATCATTGCATTAGCCTTCCTGTGCAAAAGGACTGATTGCTAAACCACTCTGGGAAAAGTAGCTCTGGGGAGGGAATAAAGGTAAAAGTAAAGGGACCCCTGACCGTTTACAACTCTGGGTTGCTGAGGGAGCCGGCGTACAGCTTCCGGGTCATGTGGTCAGCATGACTAAGCCGCTTCTGGCGAACCAGAGCAACACACGGAAACGCCGTTTACCTCTCCGCTGGAGCGGTACCTATTTATCTACTTGCACTCTGACGTGCTTTCGAACTGCTAGGTTGGCAGGAGCAGGGACCGAGCAACGGGAGCTCACCCCGTCGCGGTGATTTGAACCGCTGACCTTCTGATTGGCAAGCCCTAGGCTCTGTGGTGTAACCCACAGCGCCACCCACTGTGGAATGAGGGAATAGGGGTCTCCTAACAACTCTCAGCATCCTTAATGAAAAATAGCTCCCTTAATTCTTTGGGGGAAGCCATGATGGTTTAAAGTGGTATCATTGTGCTTTAAATGCATGGAGTGCTTGCCATGTGGTAACACGGTGAGCTATAACACAGGTAGGACTTTGAACCTAAACGCTCCATCCCATGGGCTCCCAGAAGTAAGAGTCAACCCAAGAATAGGCCCTCTGGTTCCTGGCCAGATCTAGTCACCTCATGGGATAGGTTCAGAGGGAAAGCTGAGTCTATGCTGGCTACTGTCCCTCCAGCTCTGTGGGGAGGCCTAGCTCCTATTTCAAGAACCGCTAAGTGTGGTAAGCGGGGTCAGTCCACAACATTGTGCTTCTTGAGAGAGAGGAGCAATTGCCACTTTGCCTCCCCTCCAAGGAAAAGAGCAGATTTTCTGGCAAAGCTGTAACGAAAAATCCAGTGTGCCTGATCTTGGAAATAAAAAATACAACAACAATATATCCAATTACTAACATTATGTTGCTGTTTATTGACACTCTGTATCAGCCCCCCGAGGCTGCCTCTTGACTCTGTCCAATGGTAGGGCCAACATTGCAAAGAATTCTGCTCATTGTCTTCATTAAAAAAACCACACAAACCTACAATTGAAGTAGTAATCTGCCAGAGCTATTTAAAAACTCCTTCTTCATATATCTATATCTATATCTGCGCCATTCATTTCGGCACCCCTCTTTTCAACAAGGTCTCAGTGCAGTAGGGAGAGCAGCAGTTTCCTGAAATCTCCCGACGTCTCGGATCGGATGGCTTCGGCCAGAGACCTGCTGTACATCTGCTGAAACCTCTCCTTGATTGTCTGAAGGTCAATCTTGAAAGCAAATGAGAAGAGATTAGGAGCCCTGGGGTCAAAAGCTTGACATGCCAGAGCATACTCTTTGGAGCCATAGGTGAGAAATAGCAGGAGAAGATAAATGAGCTCTCCCAGGACACACTCCAGTTAAACTTTTCTGGCTGTTGCTTGTGGACCCCAAGCCCTGTCCATATATAGGCAAGGATTGGAACAAACTATAAAAAACCCAACTGCCAATGATGCAGGAGCAACCCTCGCCCTGACAAAGGAAATGGGGTCCTTCCGTGGAGTGAGGTATTCTGGGAGAGGCGGCTTGAAAGGAAGCCCGCAAAACTGCCGTTTTTCCAAGTTGGTAGACCTTACCTTTGTAAATGACTGAAATTACAGCACCAAAAGGAAAGGGGGAGAGGAGCAGTGGCCTATTCAAATTTCGTAGGTGGCTTTAATCATATTTCTGCGTGGACTATCAGGAGACCTGCAAGGACACCCACTTCCCAATATATTCAGTGAACATGTGAGAGGGTGGGCGGAATTGTGCCCATTAGTCATACCCCTTGATGCCAATGTGCTCGCTTACTACATTCTGATTACTGCTTATGCCAGGTGCCCTGTGGGCATGAATCTGTACTGATATAACCTACTTATTATTCATTTTTAAATTAATTTATTTACTGCTTACATGCCCAGTTTTTTAAAAAAATGTGTTTAGAAAGTTGTAACCATTGTAGAATGTTTTTGCTTTTAAATTCTGGCTATGATTGCTGCCCTGGGCACTTTTTGGGAGGAAAGGCAGGATATTTATAAAATAAATAAAATAAAATAAAATAAAATAAAATAAAAGGCTTCTAGGCATTTTAAAATCACCATCAAAATCAATTAAAATACACAGCAAAACAAGCCTGCCTCCTTAGTTTATGTGTTAGGGGCTCCCCAATTAAAGCATCAACATAAAGTCAAAACAATGTTTTCATAGGTCTACTTACGTAGCAGACTGTTGGCACAATTAAATCAGGAAGCTTAAGTTCAGCGGAATGGTTGCCTAAAGAGGTGTGCCTTTGTGAGCCGGCAGAATGCCAATACTGTTGGGGGATTTTCATATTTCACTTGTGTCCATGAGTGAAAAAGCCCACCTTCAAGTGACCACAAGCTGAAAATCATCAGGCCACTGGTGCTAGCAGAGCTACTGCATATTATTAGGGTGACAAGCATGCTACACAAGTGATGTCCGTGCTCCCCTCTTTCTATCCGGTCACTTTTAAAGGCGGTACTTACTGCAACGATAACACATTCACACAAGAATTTAAGAATCCCCAAACGGCTTACCTCAGCCCTCGTCACCAGGATGCGAATCAAGGTCTCCTCGTCGGTTCCTGCGCCCTTCATGGACTCATACAGGCGAGTGGCGAAATAGGCTTGGCAGTCCCTGGCACATCTTACTAAAGAAAAACATTCCATGAAGACCCACAATGGTGCCATCGAGAATGAAAATATGCAGCCAATGAATCAGATGCAGAGGGGAAAATGATGGTCTGAGTTTCCTCAGGCAGTAGTTGCTGGGCAGGGGCTACTGTTGGTGCAGCTGGCAGGTGAGTGTCAGCCTGAGTTTTGGGCCCTCGGTCACCTGGAATAGGTGTGGGTCCTCCTTGACCCTCCTGTCCCTCTGGAACACCGATTCTGGGGGAGTTACAGTGGCATACATTCCACTGGTTGAGCCCTGGTTCAGTCAAGTTGAGCTACATGGGGACATAGGAAGCTGCCTTATACTGAATCAGACTGTTGACCCACTGTAGAACAATATTGTCTACACGGACAGGCAGCAGCTATCTGGGGTTTTAGACTGGGCTCAGCATGCAGAGCAAATGCTTAGCTTAACTGCTGAGCCAGGACCCTTCCCCAAGATCTGCTGGGCTCAGGTGAGACAAGCCGACCCACCTATTCCAAACTCCGCTCATCCCGGGAGATCTGAAGTTTGAATTGTGCTATAAAGGCAAATTATAATTTTAGAAGGGGCTGCGTCAGAAGGGCTTCGGGTTCCAGAATATGATCCCCTCCCCACTCATGATTTCATCCAGTGTAACCAATAGAGTCACTTCAAGAGATGATGATTTAAAAAATATATATTAAAAAGCCTTTGTTTTTACCAAGAGTTAGATAGGCCTTCTCAAGGTCTCCAGAAGTTTCGCTCTTAATGGCATCTTCAATATCTTTGCCAGTCAGCTACGGTGCAATAAACAAAGAAATCTCATAACTGCTCTTTGTAGCGCAGAGTTTAGTACAGAGATACCATGCGGCATTGCCACTGCTTTTTTGGGGGGGGGCAAGCAGGGGTTCCTGCTCTTTCCCCTTTAGCCTGGTACAAAAATATATATGCTGTCAGTGGGAAGGTGGGGAAAGGAAGAACTTGTCTGCTTAGAGTATGTGTAGGGACTCTGGAATTCAAGCACACACCTTGGTCCTGTATACCTGAAGGAGCGTCTCCACCTCCATGATCCAGCCCGGACACTGAGATCCAGTGCCAAGGGCCTTCTGGCGGTTCCCTCATTGCGAGAAGTGAGGTTACAGGGAACCAGACAGAGGGCCTTCTCGGTAGTGGCACCTACCCTGTGGAATGCCCTCCCTTCAGGTGTGAAGGAAATAAGCAGCTATCTTATCTTTAAAAGACATCTGAAGGCAGCCCTGTTTAGGGAAGTTTTTAATATTTAACGCTGTATTGTTTTTAACACTCGATTGGAAGCCGCCCAGAGTGGCTGGGGAAACTCAGCCAGATGGGCGGGGTATAAATAATAAATTATAATAATAATAATATTATTATTATGAAATCATAGAATCACAGCGTTGGAAGGGATCCTGAGAGTCATCTAGACCGACCCCTTGCAAAATGCAGGAATCACAGATAATCTCTGCTTTAAAACTTCCAATGGAGTCCACTACCTCCTGAGGCTGTCCATTCCACTGTTGAACAGTTCTTACCACCAGAAAGTTCTTCCTGATGTTTAGTCAGAATCTCCTCCCTTTGCTACTGGCCTAAACCCTGTCACCGATTTTGAAGCTCTGCTTAAATAGAACCGAAATTCCACCTTAACTATTAAAAACAAAAACCTGGCAGCCGGCTCCGAATCCTAGCTTTTGCACAAAAGATATTTTGTGTAAAAGCCAGACCACCTTCGGCCAGTCAGTTGGTAACTTTAGCGAGTAGTCAGGGGTAAAGAGCTTGTGAGCTCGAGGCAAGCCTTATTTTTAGAGTCTAATGTATTTGCTTAAGCCAAACGAGGTGTTTAAATAACTTTAAACTTAATCTAAATAGGCTTAGGGTTTAGTTAAAACAACACTTTTTGAAATTGCATTTCATCCCAGCCTTCCTCGAAGGAGGTGGGTAACTGAACTAACTGCCACACAAATGACCCATATTATTCTCTTGTTTCCCTGCCTCCCTTTCTCTCCTCTCCCTCCCTTGCTTGTCCTGGGATAAATTAAGGATTGATTCACCGCTGAATGGGTGGGACCTTATTGTCCACTGTTGTTGGTGGTGGTATATTAGTAGTGTTATAGGAATTTTATGGTTTTAGATATATGGTAATGTTCATAAATATACCAACCAAGTACGTACATAGATCAGCACAGGAAGACCAACCTGGAACCATTTTGATTCCTAAACTGAGCAAATGTTTTCTCTGCAAGGTCAAAGTGGGAAACCTCCCCATTGTCTCTTTCCTCACAAATCCTGTCTTAAGGGCACATTTAAGATATGAATAGGGTGTGAGCCTGTGACATGGCCCAGGAACTAAGTATTTATCATTACAAAAGACTAGCCAGGCTACCCAGGCAATCCAGTCAAGTAACCTGCCAGACAGGAGATAAACAACAACAGGAGAAAAACAATATTCAAATTTCTGCTTTAAGACCGCCTTTTCTGTGATGTAGGTATGATGTATCTGAGGGGTGGTCTTAGGTTACACCCCTTCTGTGATGTATGTATGATGTTTCTGGGGGGTGGTCTTGATCTACAGGGTGGGAATATCAAAAGCCTTGCGTGCCATTTTTCAGGGTTCCTCCTCCTTTCCTGCGTGTGAGGGGAGCACCCTGTTGCAACAGATCAATAAAGATCAAGCTTACTAGCTGCTTTGCTTCTCAATATTCTCTGGTTGGCCTCTGTTATCTTCTCCTACCAATAGGGAACCTATGTAAGGACTCTATACAGGCTCTTGGATACCCCATAAGGGAAAAGGGCAATTTTTGTTTACAACAGTAGCGTTCAGCAAAGTGGAAATGGCCCTTCTTCGCACAGTGAAGGATTTAACTGTGGAATTTGCCACTACAGAGAAAGCAGCCTTGTTTTGAGTCAGACCATTGCTCCATCTAGCTCAGTCTCGTGGACACTGACTGACAGGGGCTCTCCAGGATTCCAGACTGGTCCAAAAAATATCTACATGGTGCCTAGGGGAAAACTTGCACCTTAATATCAGCAAGACAAAGGAGATGGTGTTGGACTTTCAGAGGAAGAGAGGAGAACTAGCCCCGCTGTACATCGGGGAGGACTGTGTGGAGAGAGTCTCTTCTTTTAAATTCCTAGGAGTTTATCTCAGTGAAGACCTTACTTGGAAAATAAATACAACCCAGGTGGTTAATAAAGCCCAACAGAGACTCCATTTCCTCAGAGTATTGCGAAAGAATGATGTCAATCAACATTTGATGACCTCCTTCTACCGGTCAGCAGTAGAAAGTGTCCTTTCATACTGCATCACAGTGTGGTACACTGGTTTGACATCAGCTGATAGGAAGTTCCTACGGAGGGTGGTGAATACAGCACAAGATATTATGGGCTGTCCCGTGAATCCGCTGGATGAAATAGCGGAAGAACATTGCCTCAGGAGAGTGAGGAAAATTCTCAGGGATGATTCACACCCTGGCCGGCACTTTCTTGATCTCCTGCCCTCAGGCAGAAGATATAGAAGCATGATTAGTCGCACCAACAGGGTAAAGAACAGCTTCTATCCATGGGCTGTTAGGCTGCTGAAAGAAAAGATAACAACAGGGCAACTGACTTTCGGGTTTGGTGGGTGTGCGTCAGTAAACGAGGGGAATTAAGACTAAGAGAGCTGAGTGGGGGGTGCTCATGTAATCTCACTGTATACAAGTTGTGCAAGTGACAATAAAGTATTTCAATTCAATTTCAATATTTCAATTTTCCCAGCCATACCTGGAGATGCGAGGGACCGAACCTGGGACTTTTCTTGGTGCAAAGCATTTGCTCTGCCATTCAGCTACGTATGGCACTTTTCAACAAGAGGTAGTGATGTCCACCAACTTGGGCAGCTGTAAAAGGTCTCATAGCGGATGCAGCAATCCAAGGCTGCTAGTCATAATATGCCTCTGAATACCAATTGCTAGGAATCACAACTGGGGGGAGTGTTGCTGTACTGAGGTCCCGCTTGTGGGTTTACGGCAGATATCTAGTTGCCCACTGTGAGAACAAGATGCTGGGCTCTTCTCTTCACATTGGTAGTGCTGTGTCTTCATCACGGAATTTGTGGCCCTCAAGACATTGTTGGATTCCAACTTTCATGAGCCTGCATTGGTGTCCCAAACTTGGGTCTCCAGTGGTTGTTGGGCTACAACTCTCATCACCCCTAGCTAGCAGGACTAGGGATGAAGGGAGTTGGAGTCCAACAACCACTGGATACCCAAGTTTGGGGAAACCCTGGCTTACATGATCAATGCTCAAAGGTGATGCGGGTTGGACTTCAGACCCAGGTTCTCCTTGGTCATGGCCACCAGCCAACACAATAGTTTAACAGGCATACGGAAAAGCAGCTCAGTGTGCTGATTCTTCATTGCAAGGATAGCAATTGCACTTTAAAGCTAGACGCTTGACCAATATTTTACCCACTGGTAGTGGGTGGCGCTGTGGGTTAAACCACTGAGCCTAGGACTTGCCCATCAAAAAGTCAGCAGTTATAATCCCCACGACGGGGTGAGCTCCCGTTGCTCGGTCCCTGCTCCTGCCAACCTAGCAGTTCAAAAACACGTCAAAGTGCAAGTAGATAAATAGGTACTTCTCCGGTGAGAAGGTAAACGGCATTTCTGTGCGCTGCTCTGGTTCACCAGAAGCGGCTTAGTCCTGCTGGCCACATGACCCAGAAGCTGTACACCGGCTCCCTCGGCCAATAAAGTGAGATGAGTGCTGCAACCCCAGAGTTGGCCACGACTGGACCTAATGGTCAGGGGTCCCTTTACCTTTACCTAGCACTAGCATGGAGCTTCAGGTGACGTATCAGTTGCCACAACAGAACAAGGGTACTCACATGTTTGTAGGCTTCAAAGGTAGCTCTCAGCTGCATGTAGTTTCTCTTCGCCAAGACATCATTGAAAGCCAGCTCATCAGTTCCCCAGCGGCCTTCTCCTGCCTCAGAGATGGAAGACCACTATAACTATAGGAGTTGTGACCTATCCACTGAGAATAGGCTAAGAATTTAAACTACAGGAATGTAAATATGGGTCAAGCTTGGTTTGTGTACTTTTGGGTAGAGAGATTAAGCAATGTTGAATCTGTCAATTTCGCTTTCCCCAAGTTTCCCAATAAGAAATTAGATTCTCCACATTTTCATACGAGTTCGCAGATTTTTTTAAGGGTCATGCGAAAATTCCTCAGACTATTTTTCCAAATACACAAGTTTGCCTAATATACAGATTTTTGCAAAGCCGTTTTATCTAAGATGATGGATTTTTGGTGTATATTTTTTTCCATCAATGTGTATTTTTAAAGCAGAGTCTATCCTCGTATATGTGTTTTTGGTACACATTACTCGGCTGGAGAACTGGGCTGCAAAATTTGGAGGGGCGTGAATTTCAAAGGATGGCTGTTTTTCAGTCCGCATATTGTTTCAGGATGCGTGAATCACGTAGGTTCACAGTTAAACCCGAACTGAATCAATTTCTGCCCCATGTCTGGTAGAGATAGAATGGCCACAGACCCTCTTTCAACAGGAGAACAGCTAGCCCTCTGTTTAAAGCAGGCTTCCTCAACCTTGGCCCTCCAGATGTTTTTGGCCTACAACTCCCATGATCCCTAGCTAGCAGGACCAGTGGTCAGGGATGGTGGGAATTGTAGCCTCGAAACATCTGGAGGGCCGAGGTAGAGGAAGCCTGGTTTAAAGGATCAAAGTCCAGTTTAAAGATAAAGAACAATGAGAAGGAAAGACGGGAGCTTCAAAGTTGCTCATTGGCCATTAGCACCTGGGCAGCAGACTGATGAGGCATGTAGACCACCTCCTCACAGGCTTCCCCGCTATGATGAGATAGATGTATTGTATTCCTCTATTTAAATTTTAATTATTTCTAAATTTGCATCTGTACCAGTTAGCACATATCAGGTGTTTCTGTTTGTTGGTTCGTTTTGCTGATCACTGCTTACTCTTGGCCTCTTTTCTGGGTGATGCATATCTGTTTTTTAGACAGTAGCCACCCCAAGGGAGGCAACTCCTTCCTTGTAAGGACAGTTTAGCAATGGGATAAATGCTCAAGGAAGCTTTTAGCTGATGGTGAATATTAAGAGTTTGCTTAATTGGAACTGGTGGGCGGTTGGCTGTACCAAAGCACCTGGAATGCAAACCACACCCAACCACAGGTCAGAAGGAGAAACACTCTTGAGACCCTCTAAGTGTCCCTACTTTTCAGGGACAGCCCCAGATTTTCAGAAGCCGTGCCAGTTTCTGATTTGATCCCAGAATGTCCCGCTTTTCCTTAGGACCTCTCTATTTTCACTGGAGAAATGTTGGATGGCATGGATACGATGCCCTTATTTTCATCGGAGAAATGTTGGAGGAGACATTTTCATTGGAGAAATGTTGGAGGGCATGGATAGGATGTCCCTATTTTCATCGGAGAAATGTTGGAGGATATGTACTCTCTGTTGCTTGTTCTATAGAGAATGCACCTGGACAGCTGGGGAAGCACCAGTTTGGGGATCCAGCTGGGACTATAGCATGGAATTTCAATGTGTTGAGGCTGATAACAGGGTACCATGCTGTCTGCCTGTGTTTGCTTCAGAACCCTAATACAGTGGTACCTCGGGTTAAGTACTTAATTCGTTCCGGAGGTCCGTACTTAACCTGAAACTGTTCTTAACCTGAAGCACCACTTTAGCTAATGGGGCCTCCTGCTGTCGCCGCCCCGCTAGAGCACAATTTCTGTTCTCATCCTGAAGCAAAGTTCTTAACCTGAAGCACTATTTCTGGGTTAGCGGAGTCTGTAACCTGAAGCATATGTAACCTGAAGCGTATGTAACCCAAGGTACCACTGTAATAATAAAAGCTGCTCCACCTGTTTATGTTATATCATTATTGTGCTTACTTCATAGAGATCCTTGGCATCTTTCTGGGCCAGGTTTTCGTTAGTCTCCATCCCTTGATCTCTGCTAGCCTGGGGGTAGAAATGGCACCCAGTTAAGAAAAAGGACAAACAAAGAACAGGCTGTTTTCCTTCTAGTATGGAAGGTTCCCCCTGCCCTGGGCTACTGGAAATGGTTTTTAGCATTCCTCAGCTCTACCCTCTGATTTCAAAGCCCTTCTTCTTAATTTCAGGTCTGCAGCTACTACTTGCTGGTGAGTGAATTAACTCCATAAATTATTTGTTTGCTCCAGAATTGAGTCCTGCCATTGAAACTGAAGCAGGTGAACTCTTCCCAGAGTGGCTTAACAATCCCTCTTTCCTGGGGAACTCTAGGTATTGTAGCTCTATCAAGGGAACAGGGTCTCCTAACAAGTCTCAGCACCCTTAATGAACTACAGTTCCCAGGATTCCTTGGGAGAAGCTATGACTATTTAAAGTGATATGATACTGCTTTGAATGTATAGTACAGATGGGTTGGGAATACACAACCAAACAGAACAATTTGCACACAATTTAGTGTTGCAGGCAGTGGTGTGCATTGTCAAGATTCTCCAGAATGGAGGTGAACAAACAGGGATGGCTCTGGAAAAATGGCTGGTGTAGATTAAGCACCCTTTAATCTGAAAACTTTAAAAGCCATCTGACAAAGAGACGCGTCAGTTTTTCTGCTGCCCTCTAGTGAGTGTTGACAAGCAAAACTGGAAACAAGACGCACAAATCTCATTCTTTCCCTGTTGTTTCCTCAGTTTTGCTTTGCCCCATAAGATAAGCCTTCTGCACCCCTTGAGCTTTCCCCATTCAGCAGTAGCTTGAAGGAACAAAGGAGATAAGAAAATCCATGTGCATTAAGTAGAATGAGATAGTAGCTGGGCACAGCAATTTGAACCCCCAATCTGCCGTGCAGTGCAGTTTGGGGGTGACCCTGCTGCAAAAGAGGGACGAGGGTGGCGCTGTGGGTTAAACCACAGAGCCTAGGACTTGACGATCAGAAGATCGGTGGTTTGAATCCCCACGATGGAGTGAACTCCCGTTGCTCGGTCCCTGCTCCTGCCAACCTAGCAGTTCGAAAGCATGTCAAAGTGCAAGTAGATAGATAGGCACTGCTCCGGCAGGAAGGTAAACTGCATTTCCGTGCGCTGCTCTGGTTCACCAGAAGTGGCTTAGTCATGCTGGCCACATGACCCGGAAACTGTCCGTCGGCTCCCTCGCCAATAAAGCAAGATGAGCACCTGAACCCCAGAGTCGGTCATGACTGGATCTAATGGTCAGGGGTCCCTTTACCTTTACCTTACTGCTGCAAAGGAGTACCCCAATGGCAGACAGGTGTCCCCAGGACTCAGGCTCTCCCCCTCTGTGATAAAGAAACAGTCCAACCCCTCCTCACCTTCAACACAGAGAGGAGTATCTTCCTCACTGACCCACTGGTATCGCTTTTGACGTCAGATTCCAGATCCCTGTCAAAGACTTTGAAGAAAAGGAAGAGAGTGACTGCTCGGGCCTTTTCACTCAAGCAGGAGTTCTTGAAATAAGACATGACTTACTCCTTTGGTAGGCAGCTTTTATGGCTAAAATTTGCTGGGAGAGAGAGAAAAAAAACACAGGTGGTTTTACTGGAGGAGCTGTTTTATCTACGTTGTTATCTGGTTAAAAGACATTTAAAAGTGATGCAGAAGGCCGGATGGCCCTACCTGGTTGACCCGTGTGCACAGGATCTCAATCAGGACCGACTCATCTGTCCCCACACCTTTCATTGCCTTCCGAAGCTGCCTGGCCTCATAGTCGCACGGCTGGTCCAGCAGGGCCAGGGCAGTCTTTTCGAAATCCCCACTCAGCTCTGCTTTCAGCACTTCCCCCAGATCCTAAAAAAAAACAAGGGGGAAAAATAATCACAAGCCATCCTTTAAGTCACAGCGAAGAACACCTTGCGCAGGTCAAGAGGACAGGAGGAGAATCGGTGGGACTTGCTAAAATGTATAAGTCTGAATCAAATAAGTGCTGGAGATGTAATGAGGTAGAGGGTACATTTTATCATACGTGGGAGCCAGTGTGGTGTAGTGGTTAAGAGCAGTAGACTCGTAATCTGGTGAACTGGGTTCGATTCCCCGCTCCTCCACATGCAGCTGCTGGGTGACCTTGGGCCAGTCACACTTCTCTGAAGTCTCTCAGCCCCACTCACCTCACAGAGTGTTTGTTGGGGGGGAGGAAGGGAAAGGAGAATGTTAGCCACTTTGAGACTCCTTCGGGTAGTGATAAAGCGGGATATTAAATCCAAACTCTTCTACTTCTTCTTCTTGTAAAAGGTGAAAAGAGTATTGGGAAATGATATATAATGAATTGAAAAAAATGTTTAAAAGTTCCTTTCCAAAAAAGCCAGTCCTTTTTGTTGGGGATAATTCAGAGGGAAATTCCCAGGTGTCAAAAAATATTGTTTATGTATGCTATTAATGCAGCCCATGTTTTGCTAGCCCCCAAATGGAAAATGTGTGAGGTCCCAACCAAAGAAGAATGGCAACCTAAACTGATGCAATACACACAGCTTGCAAATTTAACATATAGAATATGAGAACAAGAAGAACATATATTTAGAGAAGACTGGAAAATGTTTACTGATTATATGGGTGAAAATTGTGTACATTTAAAAACGCTGGTACCATTAAGATAAATTCAACAGTGTAAATAAGTTTTGATGGTGTAACTATGGACTACTGAATGGTTTAGTTCATGTAAAATATGCAGGGATGTATGGTATGCAAAATGAACTGTGGAAAGAGAAGAAGGGAAGTCATTCATTTAAGGTTGTTGGCCACCTCATGAGAAGAGAAGACTCCCTGGAAAAGACCCTGGTTTTGGGAAAGATGGAGGGCACAAGGAGAAGGGGACGACAGAGGACGAGATGGCTGGACAGTGTTCTCGAAGCTACCAGCATGAGTTTGACCAAACTGCTGGAGGCAGTGGAAGACAGAAGTGCCTGGTGTGCTCTGGTCCATGGGGTCACGAAGAGTCGGACATGACTAAATGACTAAACAACAACAAATGGATACTTTGAAATGTAAATTAGAAAAAATTAATAAAAACTATATATAAAAAAGGAAGAGGATTGGTGGGAACAGTGGGTGGGTGCTGCGATGCACAGCTGACAGCAGGGGTGGAGAACCTTTTGCGCTCTCGAGGGCCACATTCTCTTCATTTCAAGGGCCATACACCCACAACAATACCTTGCCATATATGGCTTGGTACTTCTGCTTCATTTGCTGTCTCTGGTCTGATGAACGGTTGGACAAGATCTCAATAATGACCTTTTCATCCGTCCCTGGAAAATATGAAAAGGAGGACGTCAGCATGAAACCAATCTTTCTTGTAAAATGGACAGTTATCCCTTTCTTCCCAGTCTGAGAGTTTAGGGCTAGCACTGAATGGATGTTGCACACATAGCCATAAATCAGATATAAGGTAGAGGTAAAGGACCCCTGAATGGTTAAGTCCAGTCAAAGGCAACTATGGGGTGCAGCGCTCATCTTCACTTTCAGGCTGAGGGAATTGGCGTTTGTCCACAGACAGCTTTCCGGGTCATGTGGGTAGTATGACCAAACTCCTTCTGGTGCAACCGGACACCGTGACGGAAACCAGAGCGCACGGAAACACTGTTTACCTTCCCGCCGCAGCAGTACCTATGTATCTACTTGCACTGGTGTGCTTTCGAACTGCTAGGCTGGCAGGAGCTGGGACAGGACAACGGGTATTCACCCCATCACACGGATTCGAACTGCCAAACTTATGATTGGCAAGCCCAAGAGGCTCAGGGGTTTAGACCACAGCGTCACCTGTGTCCCCTAAATCAGATATGGGGACTCTGTAGACCTCTAGATGTTGTTGAACTCCAACTGCCACCAACCCAAGCCAGCATGGCCAATGGTCAGGCATGATGGGAATTATGGTCCAATAACATCTTGGGTTGCCTCCAACTAAGTGCTACTCAGAGGAGGGCCACTGAAATTAATGGGCCTAATTAAGTCGAGTTGGTTAATTTCAATGGGACTATTCTGAGGGTATCTAACACTGGCAACAACCGTGTGGAGGGCCACACATTTGTCATCTTTACCATAAATAGTTGTGATGGATTCAGTTGATGTCTCATCATCTACGCCACAAATTACTCAAAGCATCTTGGAATGCAAAGTTTTCCTGTGAATGACATGCCTGCTTCTCTTATTGATCAAATCTTACCAATATTTGCAGTTATTCAGGCAAGTGAGCCTGTGTAACTGCTGTGTATTTGTACATGAACACCATCTTAACAGAGTTCCAGACTGATGTTAATAGTTTCATTGGGAAGTGCCAACTAGGTAGACTTCCACTAAAATGTGAGCTGAACTGATTTTCCCTCCTTCCCCTAATGGCATTTTTTATATAGAAAATGTGCATAAAATGTTGACTACCAATCTGGTGTCCTCCACAACCTCACAATGGTCGTATTCATGCCATGCATTTAAAATGCTGTGACACCACTTTAAACAGTCATGGCTTCACTCAAAGTATTATGGGAGCTGTAGTTTGTTAAGGGTGCTGAGAGTTGTTAAGGTAAAAAAGGTAATGGACCTCTGGACGGTCAAGTCCAGCCAAAGGCGACTATGGGGTTGTGGCACTCATCTCGCTTTTCAGGTTGAGGGAGCCGGCCTTTGTTTGCAGACAGCTTTCTGGGTCATGTGGCCAGCATGACTAAACTGCTTCTGGCACAACGGAAACCAGAGCAGTGCATGGAAACACTGTTTACCTTCCCACTGCAGCGGTACCTATTTATCTACTTGCACTGGTATGCTTTCGAACTGCTAGGTTGGCAGGAGCCCGTTGAGCAGATTTGAACCACCAACCTTCTGATTAGCAAGCCCAAGAGGCTCAGTGATTTAGATCACAGTGCCACTCCCGTCCACTGTCCCCCCCATCTAAACAAGAGTGCCTTGTTTTGTGGCAGGGTTTGGTCCTCTGCATGGGATTATTGCCATGCAAGGTAAGTAGCAGGATTCTTACCCATCCCTTTGCAAGCTTTATGGACCTTCTTGGCATCTCGCTCGGCATCAAAATCGTGGTGGCGCCGAATAGTTGGCTAAGAAACAGAGGACATCATTAAATGATGGGGGTGACCATATTGCTCTCCCCCTACAGTTGCCTTTCTCTCTCTATTTATATACCATTAAAAATATGAAGGTGCCTTTACAACAAGAATATTTATACAGAAAAATTTACAAAGACCACCAACTATTACGGAAAGCTGTTAATTCAGGGGTCAGCAACCTCTTTCAGCCGTGGGCTGGTCCACTGTCCCTCAGAGCATGTGGTGGGCCAGACTATATTTTTTTTGGGGGGGGGGTGAATGAATTCTCATGCCCCACAAATAACCCAGAGGTGCATTTTAAAGAAAAGCACACATTCTACTCATGTAAAAACACGCTGATTCCTGGACTGTCCACAGGCCGGATTGAGAAGGTGATTGGGCTGCATCTGGCCCATGGGCCTTCGGTTGCCTACCCCTGTGTTAGTTGCCTATAGAAGCTTGGCAGCATAGAAAAATTTTCAGCAGGCATTTGAGGGTTAAACCAGAAGGCACCTGCAGTTGCCCTTTGCCCTGACACATTCTGAGCCTGACCAGCCACACCTGACACCCAAACACTCACCTGTAGGGTTGTCTGTAGGTTAGCATCATCCCAGGCCCTGAGATTGCATTTTGTGTGAATTTCTCCTTATACTGTATACACATTTTTTTGCATGCGATTTTGCCTCATGTACACATTTTTGCAAATCTGTTTGCTCTAATAAGATATTTTATTTTCACTAATATATGCAGGGCTTTTTTCCCCCCCAGCCAGAGCTTAGCTCCAGAACCTACCAGGTAGGCACCATTGCCATTCTAAGAGAACAAGGGAGAAGTTTATTGTGAGCTCCGACACCACTTTTCCTAGAAAAATAGCATTCAATATATTAGAGCCAGTGTGGTGTAGTGGTTAAGAGCGGTAGACTCGTAATCTGGTGAACCGGGTTCGCTTCCCTGTTCCTTCACATGCAGCTGCTGGGTGACCTTGGGCCAGTCACACTTCTTTGAAGTCTCTCAGCCCCACTCACCTCACAGAGTGTTTGTTGTGGGGGAGGAAGGGAAAGGAGAATGTTAGCCACTTTGAGACTCCTTAAAGGGAGTGAAAGGCGGGATATCAAATCCAAACTCCCTCTTTTTATGAAATTTTGTAAGCGCTACTTGGCTGCTACTATGGCAAAACTGGGGAGAATCTTGAAAGATGACTGTGCTGTGGTTCTTATGTGGTTTTGGAAAATGTGGAATTAGGTAGGCTCGCCTTTAAATATGAACTGAATTTCTCCTCTGATCTGTACTCTGGAGTCCTTGTAACAGATGAATCACACATCCCATGCATCCATACACACACATCATAATGAGAGGCATTGGGCTAGATAAATTATATTGACTGAAACTATGGCAATAAGTCAACCAGGAAATCCTGAAGACTTGAACAGGAAATCCTGAAGACTTGAACAGCAAATGTCTCATTTACGTTTCAACAAATAGAGTTTGATGGCAGAAGGTTAGCTTGGGCAAATCAAGGCTGACAAGATTAATTGTCCATTGACTTGGGTTTAATTATTAATTGTATTAGGAGCTTCTAGACTTCAGGGAGGTTTTTTTTGGCTATGCTGATAGGAGTTGTAGTCCAAACATCTGAAGATTGCCAGCTTGTCCTGGAGAGCAGAATTAACATGGGGCTACATGGGCCCTATGGGAAGCGGGTGGCGCCATGGGTTAAACCACAGAGCCTAGGACTTGCCGATCAGAAGGTCGGCGGTTCGAATCCCCACGGCGGGGTGAGCTCCCGTTGCTTGGTCCCTGCTACTGCCAACCTAGCAGTTTGAAAGCACGTCAAAGTGCAAGTAGATAAATAGGTACCGCTCCAGCGGGAAGGTAAACGGCGTTTCCGTGCGCTGCTCTGGTTCACCAGAAACGGCTTAGTCATGCTGGCCACATGACCCGGAAGCTGTACGCCGGCTCCCTCGGCCAATAAAGCGAGATGAGCGCCGCAACCCCAGAGTCGGCCATGACTGGACCTAATGGTCAGGGGTCCCTTTACCTTTACCTTACATGGGCCTTATAGCAAAACTTTATCACAGTATAAAATGTGGGTGCTAGGTGACTGTTCTGGAGCAAAAAAGGGTTGTGTAGGAAACTGCCTTACATCAGGACAGATTATTTGTCCATCCAGCTCAGTGCTTTCTGGCAGAAGCTCTCTGGGATTTCAGCTCTGCTTCATTTTTCTATTAACTGGAGATACCAGGGATCAACTCTGGGACTTTTTGAATGCAAAACGTGACCTCCACAACTCAGGTATGGACCCTCCCTGCCCATGGCTTACTTCCAGGTGGTTTTTCTTACCAGGATTTCCCCCCTCTTCTCAGTTAAAACTATGATATCAGAAGTGAGCTCCTCTGGGACAAAGGTCTTGGGCAGTGAGGGAATGAATGCAGGAGTATTTGGCTCCCCTCACATGCACACCCCTTTTGCTATAATAACCAGACCCCCATCTCCTGTGTTATACATGATTGGGGCAAATTCAGGTTTATATAAATAGATCTCCTGGTGTTAGGTAAAGGACCCCTGGACGGTAAGTCCAGTCAAAGGTGACTATGGGGTTGTGACGCTCATCTCACTTTCAGGCCAAGGGAGCCGACGTTTGTCCACAGACAGCTATCCGGGTCATGTGGCCAGCAGGACTAAACCGCTTCTGGTGCAATGGAACACCGTGATGGAAGCCAGAGCGCATGGAAACGCCGTTTACCTTCCCACCGGAGCGGTACCTATTTATCTACTTGCACTGGTGTGCTTTCAAACTGCTAGGTTGGCAGGAGCTGGGACAGAGCAACGGGAGCTCACCCTGTCGCGGGGATTCAAACCGCCAACCATCTGATGGCAAGCCCAAGAGGCTCAGTGGTTTAGACCTCGGGACCCGTATCTCCTGGCATTTTTCCTAGTTTGACTGTAGTCCCATTCACCCATTCATTCCCTCTCTATGTGTACAGGAAATGTGTGTATTGGAGGCCAAACTGTGTCCCTTAATCCCACCCTTGACGCAACTATGCCCACCAGCTGAGGTTCTGCTTGGCATCTGGTTGGCCACTGTGAGAACAGGTTGCTGTTCTAGATAAAGCTTTTGCTCTGAATCCACAAGGCTTTTCTTCAGCTTTCAGCTAATCCCCATGTCAACTATTCCTCCAGAAATGGTCCAGATAATCTGTGTGCCCATACTGACCCCACCCTTAATAAACCATTTACCAAACTCCAATAGACTTGACTTTTGCATAGTTTGAACGTTCAGAATTCATAAAAGTCTAGATTGTTTACAATGCAATGTTAAGAAGCAACCCTCTGCATTAATATCATTTTCTGATTCCCCTTTTTTTATTCCCTCTTGTGGTAACTCCAAGAAGCCAAGAGAGCTTCAAAAGAAGAACCAAAATTGCCTTTTGGGATGCATGAGAAGGTGGCATAAGCAAACCGGCAAAGTTACACCAGATCCAAACCCAGTTCAGCCTGGCAGACAGAAAACAAGACTTTAAAATACAGTGGTACCTTGGGTTACAAACACCTCGGGTCACAAATACTTCAGGTTACAGACTCTCCTAACCCAGAAGTAGTACCTCGGGTTAAGAACTTTGCCCCAGGATGAGAACAGAAATCGCGTGGCAGCTGTGGGACGCCCTATTAGCTAAAGTGGTACCTCAGGTTAAGAACAGTTTCAGGTTAAGATGTTGGATTTTTTGGAGCTGGCTGACCTGACTGGAAGAATCTGTGACCAGAAAGAAGAAGAGATACAAGAGGATTGGAAGGAATTTAAATAATATTTAGCTAAATATTGTAATATAAGATAAATAGAAAATTCTTGGAAGTAGTAAATAGGCTTAGGGGTAGAATAAGAATATGTGGTAGTAAATATTAAGGATTAGAATGTTAATAAAACACAGAAGAGGATAGTAAATGAAAAGAGTTGATTTTATCAGAAATATGATTTTGGAGAACTGTTACGCAGGTGATACAATGAAATTCAGTTAGAGGGGATTTGAGGAAGTCAGTTGTCAATGTAACAAGGAATTAGATATTTTAAAAAACAAATTTTCTTTGTGTTTAGTTTATTGTTTAGTTTATTGTATTGTAACTGGTTTTCTTTTTTTCTTTTTGTCATAAATGTGGAAAATCAATTTAAAAATTTGAAAAAAAGAAAGAAAAAAGAACGGTTTCAGGTTAAGAACAGACCTCCGGAACGAATTAAGTTCATAACCAGAGGTACCACTGTAGTCTTCAGTGCCAGATGGGCAGGTCAAGTGACCAAGCAAAACAGGCTTAGGACCTAGGCTAAGTCCCGCCACCCCTGAACATTCCCCTTGGGAGGTTTATACTGGCCTGGCTCAGCCAGTTTGGGATGATGGCATATCTTTGGCTGAATCCAATGCTTTCCCCCCTCAGCCGGAACTCACAGGAACTCAGTTCTGTCACCTCTCAGGTGGGCGCCATTGCCATTATGAAAGAGCAGGGAGGCGTTCAGGCCAGTTCTGACACCCCTTTTTCTAGAAAAATAGCACTGGCTGATTAAAACGGGTCCCTTTCGCATATGTCTGTAGGTTGCAGACATGAAAAAACTGGATCTTTGGACCCCCATAGTGAACAAGGCTAAATGGGCAAAAGGGAAGGGGGAAGATTAATAAAGATATTATTATTATATTATTATTATTACTTACATGAAAGTTGCCCATCTCTCCTTAGAACTCAGGAACGTTGTTGTCTACTAAGGCAGGTGTCTCTTAATATCAAGGTTTTATGCTTTTACAGTTCCGGGATTAATAAATAACCCATGGCATCATTTTAGTCATTTAATCCATAAGTGATTGTTTGTACCATCTCTTTCTTAATACTTAGGGGCCATAAAAAACACACACACGGAGAGAAAAAAATTGTGTTCTGAGTAGTTATCTAAAGGTGCAACATTTATTCGAACAATTAGGGAGGAGATTCCCTCAGCTCCACACAGAGAAACACCTCCCTGGAAAAGCATCATGGCAGAAGGAAGACCAAATATAATAATAATAATTAATAATAATAATAATAATAATAATAATAATTTATTTATACCCTGCCCATCTGGCTGCCCATCTCCCCAGCCACTCTGGGCGGCTTCCAACCGAATATTAAAAACAATACAGCGTCAGACATTTAAAACTTCCCTAAACAGGGCCGCCTTCAGTTGTCTTTCATGGATCAGGGAAGGAGCAGCTCTTGAGAGCTTTGCTAATGTGTGGCGTAGATAAAATTGGGCAGACTCTCTCATCATACAGTGGTGCCTCGCAAGACGAAATTAATCCGTTCCGCGAGAGTCTTCGTCTAGCGGTTTTTTCGTCTTGCGAAGCAACCCTATTAGCGGTTTAACGGATTAGCGCTATTAGCGGTTTAGCGGCTATTAAAGGCTTAAAGGCTTAGCGGATTAGCTGCTAAAAGGCTATTAAAGGCTATTAAAGGCTTAGCAGGTTAGATAAAGGGGGCGAAAGCGAAAAAAAAATCTCAAGACTTGCAAGACATTTTCGTCTTGCGAAGCAAGCCCATAGGGAAATTCGTCCTGCGAAGCAACTCAAAAACGGAAAACCCTTTCGTCTAGCGGGTTTTCCGTCTTGCGAGGCATTCGTCTTGCGGGGCACCACTGTACTTCTAAAAGCTGGGACTATCGCAATGAAGCTGAACGGACAGACAAAAGCAAGCCACCCAGCACACAGTTAAACTGTGGAATCGGGTCTCACAAGATACAGCAATGGCCACAAACCTGGATGGATTTAGAAGGGAATTAGGCAGAAATTCACGGACAAGGTTGTCAGTGGCTACAAGCCATGATGGCTTTAAGTTTTGCCTTCACCGTTGGAGGCAGTATGCCTCTCAACAGGGGTGACCTGCCTGAGGTAAAACAGTAAGGTGCCCCCACCCCGACTGTCTGCCACCCCCCCATGTTAATATTGGAATTTGTCACACAATCCTCAAGCAAATGTTTTCCAGGTTGTATTCATAGGTGAGGCTAATTGGTGTTATCGAAAAAGCAAACAGAGCGTACCTGTGGAAGCCTGTACTAGACTACAGGGAGCATTGCTGTCGGTTATTAATTGACCAAGTATATGGGGAGAGTTTGTGCTACGCTGAATTTTCAAGGCTAACGTGAAACACGAGTGAAGAAGTACTCACAGGGTAAGGACTCTGGGATGGGATATTTTGGAGTGCAAAGAAATCTCTAATTATCATTTTAAAAAATAAATTACACGCATATGCCCTTGGCTTTGCTAAGTTCTTACCAGAACGTTTCTTTGTCCTTATACTCTACACTGGTGCACAAACACAATTGCAGTACATATTGTTCAATTGTGTTTAGGATCACCCTTCACTGTCTGTGTACAGCAAGGTTTAGGGAAATTATTTGCCCACAGCTAGGCAGCTCTGTTTGCATATTACCTGCATAATCTTGTCTTGACGTGGCAGATAATGGTTTTTCAAAGAGAGGTGAATGGAAGGATAGGTGGCCTAAAATAAGGGCAACTTCTAGTAATAGGCCAATCTTGGCCCACCTGTCTTCCTCATTTGGCCGGTGAGGTCATTTTGAGCAGATGACACCAAATTGGGAGGGGTGGCTAACACCCCAGAGGACAGGATCACACTTCAAAACGACCTTGACAGATTAGAGAACTGGGCCAAAACAAACAAGATGAATTTTAACAGGGAGAAATGTAAAGTATTGCACTTGGGCAAAAAAATGAGAGGCACAAATACAAGATGGGGGACACCTGGCTTGAGAGCAGTACATGTGAAAAGGATCTAGGAGTCTTGGTTGACCACAAACTTGACATGAGCCAACAGTGTGACGCGGCAGCTAAAAAGCCAATGCAATTCTGGGCTGCATCAATAGGAGTATAGCATCTAGATCAAGGGAAGTAATAGTGCCACTGTATTCTGCTCTGGTCAGACCTCACCTGGAGTACTGTGTCCAGTTCTGGGCACCACAGTTCAAGAAGGACATTGACAAACTGGAACGTGTCCAGAGGAGGGCAACCAAAATGGTCAAAGGCCTGGAAACGATGCCTTACGAGGAACAGCTAAGAGAGCTGGGCATGTTTAGCCTGGAGAAGAGGAGGTTAAGGGGTGATATGATAGCCATGTTCAAATATATAAAAGGATGTCACATAGAGGAGGGAGAAAGGTTGTTTTCTGCTGCTCCAGAGAAGCGGACACGGAGCAATGGATCCAAACTACAAGAAAGAAGATTCCACCTAAACATTAGGAAGAACTTCCTGACAGTAAGAGCTGTTCGACAGTGGAATTTGCTGCCAAGGAGTGTGGTGGAGTCTCCTTCTTTGGAGGTCTTTAAGCAGAGGCTTGACAACCATATGTCAGGAGTGCTCTGATGGTGTTTCCTGCTTGGCAGGGGGTTGGACTCGATGACCCTTGTGGTCTCTTCCAACTCTATGATTCTATGATTCTAAGCCATACTCACCTGCTCTGCACCTGATGCCATACAGGTAAGGGCAGCGCTTGGCTAAGTCCACTTTGTGCAGCTCCCAAAGCGCCGCACAACCCACCGGTTGCCAGGAGCCTTTGAAGCACTGCAAAAAGCGAGGACTCAGCACTAAGCAGGATTGCTGCTCCTTCACACCAACTGGTGCAAAGGGAGAGTGACCCTGCTGAGCTTGAGCACAGGGAGCCTTCTGGTGTGTCTGAACTCAGCAGTCAGCATAATCGCTCGCTCCCCCCGTGGGAAAGGAACTGACCGACCCAGTTTCCTGCTGGGCTCAGGAGAGTGATCGGGGGTGCCAGTTTCCTGCAGTTTCCCCCACCCTTTTAAAAGATTGCTGAAGTAAGCTGTAAGCAAGCATAAATCTGACCAACAGGTAAAGTAAAAATATCTAACAACTTCAGTCAAAGAAGGCTGAAGGCTGATGGCAACAAGACCTAGCATCACCAGCCCCACCCCCCGCCATCTCTCCATCTTTTATGACTCAGAACAAAAAGGCGAAAAGACCCCCTCAAAATTCTTCTGGAAGCAGCAGTTTAAGAACACGCTACCTGCGGCGCTGTGGGTTAAACCACAGAGCCTGGGACTTGCCAATCAGAAGGTCGGCGGTTCGAATCCCCGCGACGGGGTGAGCTCCCGTTGCTCGGTCCCTGCTCCTGCCAACCTAGCAGTTCGAAAGCATGTCAAAGTGCAAGTAGATAAATAGGTACTGCCCTGGCGGGAAGGTAAATGGCATTTCCGTGCGCTGCTCTGGTTTGCCAGAAGTGGCTTAGTCATGCTGGCCACATGACCCGGAAGCTGTATGCCAGCTCCCTCGGCTTATAGAGTGAGATGAGCGTCACAACCCCAGAGTCGGCCACGACTGGACTTAATGGTCAGGGGTCCCTTTACCTTTACCTGCCTCTACTTACCAGAAGTGAAGGTGGGATCAGTGTGTACACCGCAGGCAATGATACATCCCTCATGCCATCTTCAGTTCTTCAAAACCATTATGCGACTCATCATATCGTCCTATTGATCTTAACACCCACGCTGAACACCCTTGAAGGGCGCACTTCCTGGCTGCTGTCGATGAATATTCCAATGTACACAATTTTGTATGCATGTAATTCTGCCTAATATACGTATTTTAGCCAAGATGCTTTCCCTAAAATATGTTTCTATTTTCGCTAATATTTGCTTTTCTGTACACATTTGACCTGGTATATGCCTTCAGCGCGGGTGGCGCTGTGGTCTAAACCACTGAGCCTCCTGGGCTTGCCGATCAGGTGGTTGGCGGTTCGAATCCCTGCGACGGGGTGAGCTCCCTTTGCTCGGTCCCTGCTCCTGCCAACCTAGCAGTTCGAAAGCACGCCAAAAAAAGGTGTAAGTAGATAAATAGGTACCGCTCCAGCGGGAAGATAAACAGTGTTTCTGTGCGCTGCTCTGGTTTCTGTGTTTCTTTGCGCCAGAAGCGGCTTAGTCATGCTGGCCACATGACCCGGAAAAACTGTCTGCGGACAAACGCCAGCTCCCTTGGCCTGTAAAGTGAGATGAGTGCCACAACCCCAGAGTCGTTCATTGTCAGGGGTCCTTTTACCTTTAATGCATTTTTGAACACGCTACTTGGCTGGTGAACTGCACTGCAAAACTCAGGGACGTGCAAATTTTAAAGGACGCTTGTGTTTTGGTTCCTTCATTGTTTAGAAAAGTTAAGGGTTTAAACACAAATGGAATTGAAATCATCCTAGATATTGCACACTTCAGCTGCTTACTCCCATTGGATGATGTCTTGGGTTGTTACGTATCAGAGTGAGCAGCTGAGTGACAGGAGATCAAACAGGGCGTCCTTTGCTATTCATACTGGTGCCATTTATTCCAATTAGTGCACTCTGAGCACAAGTAAGGATCCCCCCAACCTGTCAGTATTTTGTGTGACGTGTTCGAGGTCTGTTAAATTCTGAGGTGGTAAAAGCCGTTCTCCTTCCCTCACCCCAAAAGTCAAAGGAATTCATTCCTCTTTTCTGGATTTATTTATTGTTTTGTACAGAAACAGATACTTCCAATTCTGATGAAAAAAGCTACGTGTCAGAAGCTCCGATGCTGTGAAAAAGGATTAACTGACGTGGTGAGAACTTGCCAAAAATGGGGTGGGGGTGGGGGAACCCATGTGTTTTCCAGAAATGGCTGAAGCTCCAGCCAAGAAAATACTACAGCAGTAAAAGTCTCTGATGTAAAGGCCAAGAGGCAGATTTACTGTGCTCTCAGGCCTAAATCACTAATCACCACTAATTCTGATGAGAGACTAACACATTTGTTTTGGAAATCCAGTTGGGGTTGCAGGCTTAGAAAGAAAGATGTGATTCCCATGAAAAGCACAACACTTGCACATTAGAGCTAGTAAAATGAAAGGAGTATCTAATTTGTTTAGCCAAGAAATGGGAGACTCCGGCTATCTTTGTCATCAGATGCTCAGGCACACACACAAAAAGAGGCAGCTAAAATTTCTTCCTGGATTTACTTGTGTGTTGGTGAATGGCTGTGAGCTCAGAACTGCAACACCTCAAGGGCCAACTCTCCTCGTATGAACCAACCCAGTTCCTGTGATCACAATCTGAGACCTTCTTCATGTGCCTCCTCCATGAGAAGTCTGGAGGGTGGCAACCCGAGAACGGGCCTTTTCTGTAGTGGCTCCCCACTTGTGGAATGCTCTCCCCAGGGAAGCTCGCCTGGTGCCTTCATTAGAAACATTTAGGCACCAGCAAAAAACATTCCTCTTCAACCAGGCTTTGGGTTGATTTGACACCCAATACCCTTTTAAATGGGATGCGGGTGGTGCTGCGGGTTAAACCACAGAGCCTAGGACTTGCCGATCAGAAGGTCAGCGGTTTGAATCCCCGTGACGGGGTGAGCTCTTGTTGCTCGGTCCCTGCTCCTGCCCACCTAGCAGTTCGAAAGCACGTCAAAGTGCAAGTAGATAAATAGGTACCGCTCCGGCGGGAAGGTAAACGGCATTTCCGTGCACTGCTCTGGTTCGCCAGAAGTGGCTTAGTCATGCTGGCCACATGACCCGGAAGCTGTACACCGGCTTCTTTGGCCAGTAAAGCGAGATGAGCACCGCAACCCCAGAGTCGGTCACGACTGGACCTAATGGTCAGGGGTCCCTTTACCTTTACCTTTTACCCTTTTAAATGTGATGTGGTAGCAGGGATTTTTGGTCTGTTGTTGTTCTTAATTTTATTATGAGTACTGTCGTTTTATGTTGTGAACTGCCCCGAGATCGACAGATGAAGGGCAGTATACAAATTTAATAAATATAATACCACAAACCAGCCTGTGGACCTGAAAGCAGCCCAGAGGCAACTGCTGGCTTGCCCTCTGTATCATTCCAATAGTTAAAAGGACTCATGTATGATCAGCTGAATACTCCAGAGCAGCCTTCTGTAAGACAAAAGGGTTACAGCTAACGCAAGAGATCCATGATCAGAATTCTTGAAGTTTTAATGTAATAGGTGTGTGGAAAGAGAGTTGAATTGGGGTAGCGCCAGTGAGAAACTGGAACGTTTCCATTGGGCCTCTTTCTCTGGTTACGACCCCTGCCCCAACCCCTATTTGAACAGCTAGAGAAAGAGTGACAAATGCCTTTATAGTGTTTTTGCCCTGCTTTGGAGATTGGCAAGATAAGCCATTTAATTAAGAATGGCTTAGGGCAAAGGGTTAACCCTCCTCTTGAGACTGAGAAGTTGAAACCGACAGATTCATCTTTCTTCCAGCCTTAAGTTGGTCGCATTCTTGCAAATGTTTTGAGAAAAGGTTCTCACAATAATGAACACTGACATTTTAGTGTTCATTTCTCCTAATGCACCATTTTTATATATGCCATTTCCCTCCTAACATGTACATCCCTGAAAACAAGTTTTCCTAATATAACACAGTTCTGTTTGCTATTTTCAGCAATATTTGCTACCTGGCGTCCTAATTGCGCCAAAAGTTATTCTACCACCCTTTTATAGTGTGGTGTTTTAACGCTTTCCCTTTTCTTGTAATTTTACATTCTTGTAAGTCACTCTGGGGACTTTTGGAAGGGCAGCGTATAGAATCAACTGCATACAGAACTGGCAAATCACACCGCGCCACTCCAAGGAATGGAGTCAGCTCACACATTCAAGTTTCTGCAACCAAGTTAACATAATCGCACACATGAACTCAATCCCTGCCAAAAAGCTCAATTTGTAGGATCAAGTAAGCAGTTCTAGAAAAGGTCCTGACCAGCAACACAGTTTTATTTGTAAACATTTATGTTACATATTCCAATAATTTAATCAAATACCAGGTTTTTGTACAGTTCACTGTATACTATCGACTACGTCGGAACAAAGCAACCGCGTTGCATTTAGGGCTGCTGGACTCCCACGCTTTTAAAACCTTCAAAATAGTATCGGAAACACTGGAGTACAATGAATTATAAGTGCACTGTGGAAATAAAGAATTCAAACTGCTGGGAAGTTGGGAGGGGACGGAATGGAAAAGATTAACATATATACATAGAAAAAAAAGGGATAATCCCAGTGAAACTGCCTTGAAAAAGGCTCCCAAGGGAAGTCCAGTTAAAAATACTATTTATAGATGTCTCATTTATTCCCAGATTCAAGCAGCAAAATACATCTTAGTCATGAAGCACACATAGATGAATAATGAAATGTTAAGGCCTAAAACGTCGCAAACTTGATTTTTGACAAGGAAAAAGCTGGTGGGGGAAAAAAATAAAGGATTAAGCTCGACAGATTAAAAAAAAATTTTTTTTTTGGTTGCATAAAGTTGTAGTCTTTGTTCACAGTACTTATAAGTAATTCAGATATGTCGTTACTGACCCACCCCGCTCAAACCACCCATGGCACATAGCCATTACGGACACTTTTTAACAACCACCCGCATACCCTATTTAAGATTCACCTTTCAGGACTCTTATGCAGGCTGTGATGGCATCAGCAGCAAAGGCATTGCCACTGAGTTTTCCATCTTGGGCTTAAAGCCGTCTAGCCAGGCCAGCATCCAAGATGGCGGCACTCACGCCACTGGCTTTAAGTGAGGTTTGAAGATTATAGTTGCACGGAAAAGAGGAGAGGGGTCAAATGATGCCTTGGGGCTGGGGAACAAAATAGGCAAGTTTATTCAAGTTGACCCTTAGGGGGATTTCAGCTCATCTCTTAGAACAGTAGAGATAAGGCTCCAGAATGCTTGGGATTTCCAGATGAGCCTTGACCCAGCATGCCATTCCACATTATGGTTTACACAAAACAGAACACTATCAGCGTTACAAAGCTATGCTACGGCATCGTTTTCATTAAGGCCTCCCTGCTCCACTAATTAGAACTTTCATTCCAAGTTTAAACACTATGTGATGTGGGGGATCCCTGGATCTCCTAGCGCTTTGCTCTTTTTAAAACTAGCTGCGGGGTTGGAACTGCCCAAATTTTCATCACAACAGTGGCAGTCATGGTAGAGGTGTTTAATCTTCACACGCTCCAAACTACTGATCTAAAAATGGCCCTGAAGCTACTTTTTTTTTGCTTGCTGGGGGGCAACTGAGACTTGGAAAATGGCATAGGTGAGTTAACCACCCAACTACCGCTCTCTCATCATATTTGGAGGCCCCAGTGGCTGCTTTAAAGTAAAAGCAAAAATAAAATAAAAAGGTGTTAGTAGATCCAACCAATGGATCTCTTGCATCATGTGCAGATTTAACAGCTGGGCAGGTGGTACGCAAAACAGTTCCTCTTAGGATAGTTCCCAGGGGTGGGAAACCAACTTAATTCTGTCTTACTTGCATTTCCACGGGGGGTTGGAATGTTGTAGTTGCAATACACATGTCGTTTCTTTAAAACAGATCAGCTTTGAAGATTGCCAACTGATTTACTGATTTCTGCTCTTGTGGCTTCCAATGGTAGCTTGATATGCTAACATTAGCAGGCGAAGAGATGCTTCTGCTGTGGAAGTCTTCAGCCTGCTGATTCCGCATATCAAGCGACTATCAGATGCAAGGCAGCAGAAAGTCAGGCTCGTGTCCTTCTGTTTTGATTGATCATTTGAGAGCCCTAGAGATCACCCATCCCAAACCCACCTTTCCTTTTGTTAGAAGGCGAGAAAAACAACCACTGCTCTATTTCCAGTATGATGGCTGAGCTGAAACTTTTTTTAAAAAAATAAGTCAACGAGGTGCTCATGTGCACGCTAAACTACTTCATCAAGCGATGCTCTGCGTTGCATGCAGCCTCAGAGTCCCATTCCCCCCCGCCCACTTGTTGCAGGTGCAGGAAAGGCAGAAAAAAAGTGAGAGATGGCTAAAAACCTTACTATCTGTGCAAATTCTTATTCATTCCCGCTTTTCAAATGAAAGGGAAACCTTCACTTCCAGAAATATTGTGTAAAAATAATAATAAGGGGAAATGGCTGGTGGGGAGGAGGAGATTCAATTTCCAACCATAAGAATGCAAGGTCATTTTTCTACATTTCCCCCCAGTTTCAAAATATGCCCAATAAATCCTGTGCCATTGCTCTGTATTTTTTTTTAAGAAAAGGCAAAGAAGAAGAGAGGAGCTAAATACTGCAATCTGTTTATGAATGTGACTTAGTTGCTTTCTGGGTTCTTGGTCCCCAAAACATCCCTGCTGATGTGCATTAAAAAACAACAGTCCCAGAACTGCTACTCCAGTAAAGCAAATAACTAACCACCTTCCCCCCCCAAAGCCCTGATATCAAACATTTTGGACCACAATGATTTTTATACCAAAGGTTCTTATTCTTAACTTTTCACAGCTGCTTTCCCCCCTCCCTTTCAACATTTCGCAGCTGTTGAGAAGACCCTGAAACTAGAAGAACCACAGGACAGTTTCTGTATAAACTACGCGAATATAACTGTTACACAACACTGCATACATTTCTCTTGCCTTCCGAGGAAGGGAGCCTTGATAAAATCTAGAAAGGATTGAAATGAAACCTCCAATTAACATTATTTTCATGATGAAACACCCGCCATCCCCCAGGTATGGCCACGATCCACTGCAAAGTTTTCCCGCAGAAGCCCAACTGAGCAAGTGGGAGTTGCAAAAGAGCATTTCCCCGGCTGGGCCTGTTATGGGGCATAGGAAACTTCCCAGTAGATTGTGCCCAGTTTCTTCCAGTGAGAGACCAGGCTTGCTTACAGTTACAGCTCTGTTAGTTTTTGTCTATTCCTACGTGGAAGAGGAGAGGCTCAATGTGAGCCTGGCCTGATTCTGGGCGTTCAATTCCTTTCTCCAGTAACCACGTCAGTCATCAGAGGGAAGAGCCCACTGGTTATAAGAAACGCAGCTTCCGCAGCATGGAACAGATGCTACGCAGTGCAAATATTTCGTGGGTTTCACCCAGTGTTCTCCAAAGCAGATCAACCATTCTGTGTCGCCGCCTGCTTAGAACCTATTCACACAAACACATTCCTCTGTAAGGCGTGCTCGAAACTTTATGGGAAGTCACTGCCACGTGCAGATTCGGTCTTGGGGCAGAAGTGGCAAGTCAAGACACCGAATTCCAGACATGGCAGTGGATTCACACATCTGGCTTGTTATGGGATGAAAGCCATCACAGGTCGAGATTTTTTGTAAAGCTACCGCATCATGAAGTGGCTGTGCAGAGTAGGCTCTCAACTAGCTTTGGACAAAAGGAGGCAAGAGCAAAAGGTTCTCAATTCCTGCCCTCACCCTTCCAGTCTACTGTGCCAACAAAGGAAGCTGGATAAAATAAAGTGTATCATCAACAAGAACTTCTCCGTACAGACAGCACCACATTTAACACTGGTGTAATCCCATCAAACTGCAAGGTTCCACCAAGGACGAAAAAAAATATTACTCCCATCTCTCTAAGTTTTCCTATGACGCTTCTGTAGGTGCTTTTAAGCTTCAGATTAAAATCATTTACAAAGCATCATCAGCAGACTGATGTGACTACCTCCTAACTATCCTTTTTAATCAGGTAGTTAATAGTTAATTATTAAGTACGTCAGCGGTAGAACCCTGCCGTCCCCCTCTCTCCCATCAGTCACTGATACTTTTGTTAAACTATTTTAATACAACTTGTGCCTTTCTAATGCCAAAAGCTATTAACTGTTGTGTGTTATTACGATTAAAAAAAAAAAAAAAGCAAGTTTACGGTCTGCACCACAAACGTATAAAATTACTATTATCTACTGTGACAGTATAGAAATTCAAACATCAGAAAGCCTACGAAGGGCGCTTTCAGTTATAAAAGAAAGATCGATTGTCTTGAGATAAAAAGAGAGGCAGGCTTGACAACTAAGAAGCTTTTTGTTGAAGCATGACATGCAGTAATGAACAGGTAGGCGAGAGAGGATGCATCTCCCCCAGGTTAAAAGTGCAGCACTACACACTTTGATAACACTATTGTTGCAGAGGTCATGCTGTGGGTAGCAGTACACTTCCGGGGAGGTTGGCACTGTAAGTCGAATGCAGTTGGTCACCCGGAAGGAAAAGGCAAAATGTGAACCACGCCAGGGCGAACCCCTCGAGCTATTTCAGGTGTTCGGGTGGCACAGTTGCAATAAGGACAGAGGAAGGAGACCGCCCGTTCCACTCTGACAATGTACCGTCCTTGAACATCAGGTTCTTGGCTGGAAGGGGAACGCCTGCGTCGGCAGAGGATGGGTGGGAAAGTAAACTTGAAGTAGAAGAGGAGGAAGAGGAGAAACTGGCTTCTGAAAGTAATTCCATAGTTGAAATGCTTTCCTGATGAGGGAAAGAGGGAAACATGCTTCAGTAGGATTACCGGTTGGCATTCGTTTTTGCCAAACAAGTGACTCACAGTCCCAAATTCTCGATTGGCTACTGCATATTATTATTCCTATTATTCCCCACCCATGTGACTGGGTTGCCCTAGCCCAGGGATCAGCAAACTTTTTCAGCAGGGGGCCGGTCCACTGTCCCTCAGACCTTGTGGGGGGCCAGACTATATATTTTTTTTGGGGGGGGGTAATGAACAAACTCCTATGCCCCACAAATAACCCAGAGATGCAGTTTAAATAAAAGGACACATTGTACTCATGTGAAAACACACTGATTCCTGGACCATCCGTGGGCCGGATTTAGAAGGTGATTGGGCCGGATCTGGCCCCCAGGCCTTAGTTTGCCTACCCATGCCCTAGCCACTCTGGGCAGCTTACAACATATATAAAAACATAATAAAACATTAAACATTTCCCTATATGCCTTCAGATGTCCTTGACAACAGGAGGTGCCAGTGCCAGGGGTCCTTTAGCAATTTTGACTCTTGATGAGCAGAGGCAGGGGTCTTGCTAGTATTCACAAACCTAGTAAGCCTTGGTTGGCTTATCTTTTATTAACCAAACAGCTTCCTCTTTAATGGCCAAAGGACCCAGGACAATTCCCATCCTTTCCTTTTTCCTTTCTCCATTCTCTTATCCCCTTGCCAAATTTATAGGAGGTAGTGGAGCTGTGACGCTTGGCACATGCCCAGAGGCTTTTGGTGTCAGAAAGGGCTTCTTAAAGCCTAGGATCCTGCAACTACTATGTCACCACTGCTATGTCAAGTAGAGATTAAGGCCCTTTAGAGAAACCAGGCTAGCAGGCAGGACAGACCGAGGTAGCAGAGGAGGCACTATGTGGATGCAAGTCTGTCAGAAAAGAGGTGTGATAACACCAGTGGTCCTGGTGGCCTTCAGGTTGAGAAAACGTGCAACTAGGTACAAAGTCATGAAACAAACCCACAACATTGTCCAGGAAGGTATGGAGAATAAAGCTACAGAACCAGACAGATGTTTTTCCTTGTCTCATTCAGCAAGCACCCTTTAGCATTACATCAGTTAAAAAGAACATCGAGAAATGCAAGTTTGCAATGCGTTTACGTCAAAAAGGAACTTCTATGTAAATATTAATGCATATGCAATTTTTAAACAATATATATTTACCTGGAATGAATGAACAAAGCTAAGGACCTGTAGAGAAAGTTTTCTACTGGAATGTAACAGTTTTTGAAGGCTGTCAAAAGATCAGAAAACATATACAATGTCAAACAAGTAGTCCATGGGATCCATGTGCAAGTTGAACACTTAACTGCTTCATTTCTACCTCTGCTGAAAGATCTGCAGGCAAACAGTTTAGGTCCCAGCAAGTCCTCACCTCTCTCTGCTACACAGTCCGTGGCTTGCGATTTTCCGGCAGACTTTCCGGTTTAACTCGGAGCTGAAGAGTGGAATTCCAAAGCACAATTCCAGGGGGACCCACTCCTGCTCTGTTGTGGGAACTGAACAGATACAGAGATGAGGCAATGTGGAATTTGGACTGCAGCTTATCTGCCCCAGCCAGCACTATCTTCCCAGTAACAAATTAAACCCTTTATTTTATTTTTTAAAAAGGATTACCTTCGGGACTTTGCTTAGCTGCCGAATCCATGGGTGGCTCTTCAATGACCATTTCAAATGATTCCGTGCTCCCATTTACATCCGAGCCAAGTGCCAGCTCTGGCTCGCCTTAGAGCAAAAAAACACACAAGCCATTTAAGCTATATTCATGAGCAACAGCTGTTATGATCCAGCAGCTCTGGACGGAACACAGCGCTGCACAAGCTCACACATCAGGAATTCACCTTCCCTCCTCCCACCTGCGCCTTCAAAATCTGCTCTGGAGGGTCCCTCAAGTCTGCTTTGTTCCCATTTACATCCGAGCAGACAGTATTGCTCAGTTATACCCTGTGCATTCACATCCCCAATGGCTTCTCTATTACGAACATTCTTGGCATTATCTGGTATCTGGCCATGCGCAGGATGCTTCCTTTTAGCATAACCCTTGAAGGTGTGGGATTCACAATATTATGATGGTGGATTGGGAGAAATTGTGGAAAAAAGGAATTAAATTTACAGCATGTAATGTATTAAGAGAAAATCTGATGAAAATGATGTACAGATGGTACTTAACACCAGTGAAGTTAGCAAAAATGTATCATACTCATGATAATAAATAATGGAAATGTAAGGAAAAAGAAGGAACCTTTTACCACATGTGGTGGACGTGCCCCAAGGTAAAAGACTTCTGGGGAAGGATTTATAACGAATTGAAAAAAGTGTTGAAAAACACATTTATTAAGAAACCAGAACCCTTTTTACTTGGTATAGTGGGGGGTGAAATCCCCAAAAAGGATGTTACTTTTTTTCTGTATGCCACAACAGCTGCAAGAATATTACTAGCGAAGAACTGGAAGAAACAAGATCTACCAACTATCGAAGAATGGCAGATGAAGATGATGGACTATATGGAACTTGCGGAACTGACTGGGAGACTCCGAGACCAGAGAGAAGAGACGGTGGAAGAAGATTGGAAGAAGTTTAAAGAATATTTGGAAAAAAAAAAGTTAATATTTAAATCTTAGAATAGCTTTGGAAGTGGATATAAACTGCAGGGTTAGAAGTAGAAGATAGTGTGTTTTAAAACAGTATTATTTGTAAGTGATAACATGTGAAGATTTTTATGGTAAAAGTAAGCTTGATAAAAAAAATGGTTAAAAATTATGATATATGTAAACTGCTAAAGATGAGGTAAAATGAAAATCAGATGGGGGGGGGACTTGTATTGTTTGTTTTTCTGTTTGTGTTGTTTAGTTGTGTTATAAAATGAATAAAAATTTTTGGGAAAATAAAAGGTGTGGGATTCAGGAATCCACCCCCTTAGCTCCAAGCTTCCTAGCGGATGCTCAGTATGGCTTGCTTCCCTTCCACCACCTTTCATTCACTGCACGCAAGGAACTCGGCACAGATCCAAATGCTAGAAGCCTCCACATCTGACAACCAAGTTTTACTGCTGACCAACCTTTTCCATCAGAAGCATCACTCAGCTTCCTGTGCACGTGGTGGCTGAAAGGGTTCAACATGGTTACGTAGCCGCAGAAGTGCTGCAAATCCATCTTTTCCCTTAATATCCTCAACGCTTTGTGAACACCCATGTTGAGACGAGAAAAATCTAAACACAAACAAAGGGGAAAAACACGTCAAATGGCAATTTTACTAAGCGAAAAGAAAAGAAAAGAAGAAAAAAGGTTGCATCACTGCAGCCACCAGTTTTAAAAAGATTAGAGATTGCAGTGGCAAAGAAATCTAGCAAAACAGCAAGTCCCCCTCCCTTTACTTCCCCACAAAGAAAGAAAATGCAGAACAGTGCAAGGGAGTGGGAATGGGGAAGCAAGCTTTTGGAATCATTGTTAATTGACAACAATGATCAGTGGCTTTCATGTCTGCATCATGTTTTATTGGGGGGGTGGGCAGGCTGGGAAAGTGTATTATCAGTTACATTATTCCTAACCAAAATATCATTCAAAAGGTAGTGATTAAATTCTCACAGCAACATACAAGTCTGATACCCACTAAGCCAAAAGCAAAGTGGAGGACTATAGCTTTGTGGCAGAGAAACATGCTTTGCGTGCATGTGTTTCGCAGGTTCAATCCCCAGCGTCTCCAGCCAGCAGGCGATGGGAAATGCCTGAAATCCTGGACAGAAACTTGCCAATTTCCCCCTTTCCTTGTTACCCTTTAGTTCCTGTGAGCAGCAAGGTGCGGTTTTGAGGGTTCAATCACGCACAAATTGTCTCTGAGCGGAGAATGCCAGTACAAGAAAACATGAGTTACCTCCTTGCAGTTCTGTTTCATCAAATGGAAATGGCATATGGACAGTTTCCCCCATACCACGCATACCATGTCCCTAAACACCAAAGTGAGAGTTAAGGCACAAAATCCATGTCAACGTGACAATCTCCAGCTCTTCAAAGGCGCCTAGCCCTCATTGATCACGGGGAATTACTGCCAGAGAACCAAGAACCTAAGGTGCCATGATCCACACCCCATCTCCATTAATACTAAATTCTGCAGAATTAACAGAATGGAAACTCTCTGTTGTCGGTTGATAAGAGTTCAGTTAGTAAGATCAAGGTTCCTTTAATAGTAAGGACAAAATCCCAGTATGGTTTCAAGATAGGATACTTTTTCTTGAGAAATACGATCAAGAATTGGGAGTCAGGGGAAGGGGAAGGGGAGAAGATAGGTGATGGAATCCAACAACATCTGGGAGGTTACCAGGCTGGCTAAGTCTGGTCTAAAAAAATCATCTGAGCCACAGGCCATCACAATACAGTCTGTTCTCATATTCCAAGAGTTAATTACAAGCACCTCAAATAAGAAACTGCATTAAATTAGCCATCTTCCAGCCACCACTGGACATCTGTATATTATGCAAACTAGCTTTAATTCTCACTCCTTTTCTGCCACATCCTCCGCAACTCTCTGGTCCAGCAGAAATATCAGAAGTTTCATATTTATACAAGTTGTTCCTTACCTGAATCAGAACAGCAGAATGGGTTAAAGCATCATTCAGCATGGTGAGCACATTGGAAGTTGGGACGACTCCTGGGTCATGCCCCCAAGATGTTATTAGTAAGCGGTCATAGCCCTAGGGAGTAGAAGTGAAGACACAGCTGTCAGATTAAGACTGAAAGGTCTATAGAGTTGCAGCAAGAGCAAAGTCCTCCACTGTCTGCATCCATCTGGCTTTGCTTTTCAAGCTCTCTTTTCAGCCTGAATTAAGGGGTTTAGTTTTTCTGCTGGTAGGAAAAAAAGAAATACCCCAAATCTTATTTGTGCAAGTTGAATTGTTTCAAAAATCTGAAAAGTAATGCAATCATCCTATTTGTACTCATTTATTGGCACACATGCTTTTCAATTAATCTAGAGGCAATTTGTTATCTACATGTCTGTATTACCTATTAACACCAGAACCTGTGGCCCCCTAGATGCTGTTGGGAGTCTCATGCTCTGCTGACTGAGCCATCTCAGCTCTCTAGAGCAGGCATAGGCCAACTCGGCCCTCCAGATGTTTTGGGACTACAACTCCCACCACCCCCGACCACTGGTCCTGATAGCTAGGGATGATGGGAGTTGTAGTCCCAAAACATCTGGCGGGCCGAGTTTGCCTATGCCTGCTCTAGAGCTATTTATACAAAACACTGATCTGAACCCAAGAGTGGAACATGACCAAAGGCCTATACCCCAGAATTAAGATTGCCCACATTTCCAGTGAGACAGCTTACCTTGCTGAAACCAGCAATATCAAAAGCAACACGCTGGCCAGAAACAATTACAATGTGAAAAACTTTATAGGAATAATGAAAACATCAAAACTAACAAACTGAAGTCTCTGAAAGTCCTTGAATGAATCACGGTGCCAGATTTTACCCGGCGGAGAACAAGCTGTGAAGCTTTGTATACTCAGCAAATGTCCAATTCTGATGTCCAACTCTGAACTCTGAATTCTTCATCAGCCAATTAGTTCAACACTCGTAAAGTAGAAAGATATGTAATTTCTTCATTAACCAATCTTTTTTCAAATAGATATAATATACATGAGAATGAAAAATACTCTGGAACAGTGCTCATGTGATTATTCCTATAATGTTTTTCACATTGTAATTGTTTCTGACCATCGTGTTGCTTTTGATATTGCTGGCTCATATTTTGCAACACAGGGGTTTGTTTGTTTACCTTGCTGAAACCAGCAGCTTCAGGTGTTATATGCAAAGGCCAAAGGAGCGACAACTCCAGAATTAATACCATTACAGAAGACTCTCATTCCCTCCAAATACGTAATGCTTACCTGAAATATATCTGGAAGTTTTCGGAGTCTTGTTCCTTTAGATAACAACAGGGACGGAGGCCCTTGCCCAGTAATGTGATAAATGTAGAGCTTGAACCATACGGAACTGACTTCTGGAATAGCTGGTCCAATATGCTAGGGAAAGATGAAAAAGGCACCCACTGAAGCAAGAATAAGACGAACGTTGCTGTTATAAACTTGATTTGCAGTAACAGGGCTTCTTCTATAACAGCAACTGCAGTTTCACTCCTGACTAATATTAAGAAGCAGAAAAGCATTTGGGAAGGCATGTTGGTGACTCCTCACCAGTGGGGCTTCCCTGCCAGCAGAAACCAGCAGCGCTGGGCAGAACTGGATGGAGACCTCTGCTGCATCCAAACCCCTTGCAGCATGGCAGAGCCACGGTTTGGGTGTAAAGCTCGCAGTATCTTTTCTTTTTTAGAAAAGCCTTTTAAGCACTTCCTACAGACTCATTGGGGACGTGGGTGGCACTGTGGGTTGAACCACAGGGCCTAGGACTTGCCGATCAGAAGGTCAGCGGTTCGAATCCCCGCGACGGGGTGAGCTTTCAGGTCATGTGGCCAGCATGACTAAGCCGCTTCTGGCGAACCAGAGCAGCGCACGGAAACGCCGTTTACCTTCCCGCCTGGAGTGGTACCTATTTATCTACTTGCACTTTGAGGTGCTTTCGAACTGCTAGGTTGGCAGGAGCAGGGTAGAAGGAAACTTCTGACGTTCTCTTCCCCTTGCACCACTTTTGCTGCTCAAAGATCTGCCATGCAGAGCTTGGGGACTCTCTGAAGCAGTAAGGAATGTTAGTGCATGGTGGTGCAAGGGGAAGGGGAGTCCGGCGAAAATAAAATAAAATGCTGTTCCAGCCCTGTGCTCTGGGGAGTGGGGGGAGAGAGACTCTGCCAGACCCCAGACCCCTCTGCAAACAGAAGGGGCTGTCTTCCAGCTGTGGAGGGTTAGTTGGATAAAGCCATGCAAAAGCAATAAAGTCAACTTTTTGGAAGAAAAGCAGAAACACAGATAAAGAGTGCATGCACACTGCTGACCAAAAGCCTTCCGTAAATACTAAAAGCAAAGCGTCACACAGGAAGTAACCCTCCCATTTCATTTCTGGGGAGATTTCCTCTCTTACCTGGGGTGTGCAGCTACTGATGGGTCGGATTTCGTTGGTGAGAGGTGCCATGGAGACCAGCAGTGTGTAGTTTTTGTTCAAAACTCTGCTGCAGGTAGCAGGGTCCAAGCCAAGCAAGCTTTCGCAGCGCAGCAAATCCAGAGGGAAACCTACATCAACGATGTCAAAGACACTTGGAATACAGATAGAGAACGAACATGTACAACTGAAAGGGGTACAGGAAGGGGGAGGAAAAATACAGATTTAGACGGGTCTCTTCTCTCTTCCTAGATAAAATCTCAACACAACAACTTAAAGATGCTATCAGCTAGGGAGGGGTAGGCAAGATGGTGCCCTCCAGATGTTGTCAGACTACAACTCCTATCACTCCTAGCCAGCATGGTCAGGAATGATGGAAACCGGAGTCCATAACCATACGGAAGGCACTGTGTATGCCACCTACCCCATGGTAAATCAGCTTTGATGCATACCACTAGCCACAAGGAAAGTTACATGTCAAAAGGAAATAACCGTTGAACCAAAGACTTATTTCATGCAAGTTTTATTTATTTACTTTGCCTTCCTTTGAATAGCAGGATCTCCTTCCACAACTGCTTTTGAACTGCCCCTCTGCTCTGAAGGGGTTCTGACTATGGGGGACCAAGGAGACAGCTGTTCAATAAATATAAATACAGACTCTCCATGGGTATGTGATTCTCTGTATCTGAATTTCTTGAACCGCTGTTCACTTACTGGGCAGTTCTTTGGATACCAACCATGGATACATTTCAGAAATGGGCAACCAAGAATGATCAAGGGGCTGGAGCGGCTCCTCTATGTGGAAAGGTTATAACACTTGGGGATTTTGTTTTTTAAAAAAAAAGAAAGAGAGAAAAGAAAAAAAGGTGGAAATGATAGAGGCGCATAAAATTGTTCACTGTGTGGAGAAACTGGGAGAAAACTCTCTCTCTCTCTCTCTCACACACACACACACACACACACACACACAGAGTTAGAACCTGGGGTCATAGAATCATAGAACAGTAGAGTTCTGAGGATTGTCCAACCCCCTGAAATGCAGGAAAATGCAGCTGTCCCATACAGGGATTGAACCTGCAACCTTGGTGTTATCAGCACCACACTCAGTGAAGCTGAACATAGAAGAAAAAGAAGTAGAAGAAGAGTTTGGATTTGATATCCTGTTTTATCACTACCTGAAGGAGTCTCAAAGCGGCTAACATTCTCCTTTCCCTTCCTCCCCCACAACAAACACTCTGTGAGGTGAGTGGGGCTGAGAGACTTCAGAGAAGTGTGGCTAGCCCAAGGTCACCCAGCAGCTGCATGTGGAGGAGCGGAGATGCGAACCTGGTTCCCCAGATTACAAGTCTACCGCTCTTAACCACTACACTGCACTGGATCTATAGGGAGATTAAAGGCAAATGCATCTATACTTCTTCATTCAGTGAGCTGTTAAACTATGGAATTTGCTGCCACAAGATGCAGGGATAGCCACCAGCTTGGACAGATTTAAAACAGAATTAGCCAAATTAGGAACCAGGAAATCAGGCCATTGGACCAGCATTGCCTACAATGCTGTGCACCTTCTGCATGCAAAGCAGATGGTCTACTGCTTAGCAATGGCTGTTCTCCAAACTCAAGAAGTTTTAGGCTTTCAGTGGCTACTAGCCACAATCGCTATGTTCCGCCTCCACTATGGGAGGTAGGGTGCCTCTGAATACCAGCAGCTGAGAAAGGGCACTGCTTCGCTCATGGCCTGATTTTGGGCTTCCCATAGGCATCTGGCTGGCTGCAGAGAGAACAGGATGCTGGACTAAATTGGCCTTTGGTCTGTTCGAGCTCCTATATATTCGGTGAAGGAAATTTTATTCTATACTATTCTTTTCTCAGGCTCAAACTAGCATATACCGTATTTTTCGCCCCATAGGGCGCACCGGCCCATAGGGCGCACCTAGTTTTTTTTTGGGGGGGGGGATGCACACACAATTCCCCTTCATTTTTGGAGGGGAAAAAGTGCGTCCTATAGGGCGAAAAATACGGTAAATGCTGGTCACAAGAAATCCCATTTTGAATAGGACATATGGATTTACAGCACTACATTCCTTAAAAAGGTAAAGGGACCCCTGACCATTAGGTCCAGTCGTGGCCGATTCTGGGGTTGCGGCGCTCATCTCGCTTTATTGGCCGAGGGAGCCGGCGTACAGCTTCCGGGTCATGTGGCCAGCATGACTAAGCTGCTTCTGGTGAACCAGAGCAGCACACGGAAATGCCATTTACCTTCCTGCCAGAGCGGGGACCGAGCAATGGGAGCTCACTCCTTCGCGGGGATTCGAACCGCCGACCTTCTGATCGGCAAGCCCAAGAGGCTCTGTGGTTTAACCCACAGCACCTCCCGCGTCCCTACTACATTCCTTAGCCTTTGCCAATTTTAAACCATAGTACCCAATTCAAGAACACTATCCAACATGATTTAGGAAATTTAAAGCATACTCAAGTCTAAAAAGATGAATGTCTTTTAAGCTTCTCCAGGGGGCATAAACCAACTGTGCAAGGTCAACTTCAAAAGTAAACCAACCGCATAAGCAGCTGGAAGCTACATAAATAGTATTCACCCTCCAAAATGAGCTGTAGATACTGTGACAAGTGAAGGCTTATTTAAGCAATTCATTATCTTGAGAGTATTAGTTCATGTCCTGTTCCCCCAACCCTCTCAAATGATCAAAAGACACTTTACCCACTGATAAGAGTGAATTGGTAGTGAAGAGTCCTCCACAATAACTGGGGTTCCTGCTCTGTATCTTTTTTATTCTATGTATACTTTTAAATGCTGTTGCCTGGGAATCTGACAGTTTTTGATAGGACTCAACTGGATCTAGGTGACTGCACACACTGATGAATGTTTTAAAGGGGTAAAAAAACTGACAAAGCAAGATAAATTCTTTCCCCATTAAAACAAAATTAACTCGAGAGATGTACAAACACGCAGACTATGTTTGTTCAGCCCTGCAGGAAAATGATGGTCCGGAGGGGGCTGAATGCTTACAGCTAAAGGGAATTACAGCTGCTGCATTCTCCCAAAATAACATGGCTCTGATTGGAAATCCCAAGAAATCCCAATGGTGGAAGAATGGCAGATGAAGATGTTGGACTTTTTGGAGCTAGCCGACCTGACAGGAAGAATCCACGACCAGAAAGAAGAGGAATATCAAGAAGATTGGAAGAAATTTAAGGACTATTTAACTAAATATTGTAATATAAATAATTAGAAGTCACTTGAAAGTACCAAACAGGTCTAGGATTAAAATACGACTCAACTGTAAGTAAGTTGGATTTAGAACAGTAAGAAAAGAGAAGAAGATAGTTAATTGTTGGAAATAATTTTAACTGAAGAATGATATTGGAGAGCTGTTATATGTGGATACAATGAAATTCAGAAGGGAGGGATTCGAGGAAGTCAATTAACAATGTAAGATAAATTGGGTTTTTCAAGTGATATGTGTTTAATTTTTTTTGTTTTTCTTTTTTAGTATTGTAATGTGTTTTCTCTTGTGTGTTTTCTTTTCTTTTTTCTATGTTATATTTGTTATAATTGTGAAAAACTTAATGAATAAATAAAAAAATAAAAAAAATAACATGGCTCTGGCCAAAAAGATGGTGCAGGGCTGGTTCAAGATATTGTATCACCCATGCAGTTAAAGGTGCATGAATTTTGCGATGTATACCCCTGAGCAGCGTGCGATGACCTACAGATTAGATGGAATACATATTGTCTCAAGTGCCTTTCTGAGTTACTGGTGCTTCTGGACCAAGAAAGAGAGGGAAATAGGGAGAAGGGAGAAAGTTGGCAGTTGCAAGGTGGAAAGCAAAGGGTCCAAAAAATGCTAGTGGTGCTCGCTGAATGTAACAGGGTAGAGGAAGGTTGCTATCATCTGATGGTGGGAATGAAAAAGAAATAAAGCACTTTTTCTTTCTTTCTCCTGTGACTGCTATAACCAACACCTGGGATCTACTCTTAAACTTTAACGCAAACACTATGTGCTTAGAACATTGATGCATAAATTAATGCATCTCTTTGGACAATGCTTTCCAATATGTTTACCTGCAAACACTAGAACTTGCGTAGGTTTATAAATAAGTCAGGTTGACTTTGTTTAATGAGATGACTTCTCAGTCGCCTAGATTCTTAACTGGCCTTATACAGAGTACACTTCTGACTACAGGGGCTATTGCAACGATAACAGCATGCCAAGCTTGATGTTTAGCAGCCTAAAACAGCTAATAATGGACAATGGGACCTCTGTTCCCAAAGGGGTTATACTTATAAGTACATGTTTGGAGCACGTTTTCAAACCTGGTGAAAGTGTGTCATTAGAGTAAAAAGTACAGAACACGTAAAATAAAAGCATGTCTTCACTGTACCATTATTGGGTTGTTCAGGCTGTGTAACTTGAGCCACTAGGTCCTTATTGTGCCTCAGAAACAGTATAGTGTTTCGCAGGGTAAGTGCGTGATCAAAGTATCTTTGTGCTTCACCCTCTCCTGTGCTCTGAACCTAAATAAGGGAACAACAACAAAAAAGTACTTTGCATGAGCTGTTTGTGCAAATACTATTGACATAGAAAATTGAATTAAGATATGACAAAACATTCCTAACTCAACATTTATGACCATGCAGCTGCTCTGATCCTCAAAAGAAAAAAATATTTACATGTCAGATGAATAAATGTGATTATATTTTCTAGTACTTGTGTGTTATCTTCACTATTAAAAAAAAGGAAACGATGAATATAATATTTTCAATAGCTTTGGTAAACTATCTGTAGGTCAGTTTTCTGTACATAATTATGTGTATACATTTGATACCCTATACAGAGTTTAAACAAATGTTATGTGCAGGCCATAGCAGAAGGAAAACACCATTTCACAATGTAATCATACAAAGAGTAATGACTGAAGCTTCTAATCTATTTTTCTTCAATTTGAATGATCAGATGAGCCACACTTACTAAAAGCAAGAGGGTGGGAAGGAAGCAATGTCTTATGGGAGACTGCTCAGCAATGGGCTATGGGCTGCATCCAGCCCCTTAAGTGACTTATGTGGCTCCAGGTGAACTGACCAAGTTCAAACTTTTGCTCATAAGAAAAAGACGCCTCCAACATATAAGTTATTTTGGAGGTTAACGTTAAATGTCTCTTTCAAATCTGAATGCATTTGTGCTGTAACTGTGAAGCCTTTAATAAATAGAAAGCCACAAGCAGTTTAGTCATGCTGCCCACGAGACCTGGAAAGCTGTCTCCCTCGGCCTGAAAGCGAGAGGAGCGCCACACCCCATAGTCGCCTTGGACTGCACCCAACTGTCCAGGGGTCCTTTACCTTTTTACTAAAGCCTTTAATGCAAGATGGTACCAACTAAACTATATATAGCCTGACTGCTCATGCAAAAGGTTGCGTTGACTACTACGCTGTTTTAACAATAACAAACCATTATTTACCTTTTCAAGTTCTACAAGAAAACTGTCCAGAGACTCGTCTGACAACTTCCCAACTTCAAACATGGTGACTGCATGACTTTTCAAATTCTGAAAGGAAGGTAAAATTGCATAACCTTGAGTTCTGAATTATTAGGAATCTATCCAGTATGCAATAAGCGTTCACAATGAAGATGTAGGAATACAGACTACACCCCCCTTGCGTTCCCTTCCTGCAAGTCAGGACTCTTTTTTATACATATATATATATAAAAAAATGACTGTAGTTATCATTTTGGCAAAGAACTTATCTAAAAACTTGCTTTTAAAAAAGTTTTTATCAAAAAACCTAAAAGAATATTTTAAAGAATTTTAACACTTAGATATTGAGAAGCTAAGAAACTTACCGGTGAGAGATTCCCCATCATTAAAAAGGCAGTGAGGGTTGAATCAAACAGGAAGGCTATGCGCTTTGTGTGCCCACCGGACAGACTCAAGCTGCTCACACTGGCAGTATCAGCTAAGGAAGCAAACACACACAGAGATTTGCCATCTTAAATAGTTTTGACAACGGTGCAACATGCTGGCCTGCTTTGTACATCATTGCTAAGACTGTGGTTGCACCTCTCCTCTCCACTCCTTTAGCTGATGTGATGAGCTGAGGTAAGCCATGGTTTTGCTTAGCGTGTCCTCCAAACTCAGGCCTGTAAATCAGCTCTCCTGGGCAAACCATGAGTTGTAAACTGATAACCAAACTTGGTTAAAACCCATTGTTAGCCTGAAGAGTGCTGACCCACAAACCCAGGTTTGGATGAAACGCTAAGCTTTGCTCAGCAGCAAAATGACCAAGGAAGAACAAAGCCGGCCCTGATCTTATCCTCACACTAAGCCAGGGGTCAGCAACCTAAGGCCCATGGGCCACAAGCAGCCCATGGGGGTCATTTAACCGGCCCAAGGACTTCCGCCTTCTCGGGGACACCTGCTGCCCGCTCGGAAGGCTCCTGTGCACTGCGCTAAACCGGTGCGGAGCAGAGCGGGGACCACCTTCCATGACTCTGGCCGGTTTCCCATTGGCTACAGGAAGATCCTGCAGCCAATGGGAAGCTGCACATGCCTCCTCCGCGCCCGCACTCCAGCCCACCGTGGCATCTGTGGGACCGTGAACCAGCCCAAGCCACAAAAACTTTGCCGACCCCTGCACTAAGCCATGGTTTGGCTTAGCAGGATGTGCAAATCAGGCCATTGTGTCTGTCATTGAGTCTGCCCTCCTCTTGAACCTTTGACACCTTAGCTTGCCCAGGGTCACTTGACGTCATCAGCTGACCTTCTCTTATTTAGCAGCGGGCTTCTGCTACATCTGCCAGTGTGCCACCTCCAGAGACATCAGAAGTATCTGAGAAAGGCCTGAAGTGGTGCAGTCCCCATGGGTGCTATTGGCTAAACTACTGTGATGTTACAGAGAGGCTTGCTAACCTAATGTCAGGCAACCGACTACTTATGAGTGGAAAAAACCTCACCATCTCAAAGATCCATGAACAACTCTGGCCACATTCAAACGGGACAGGGATTTTATTTATGCCGTGGGCTTTTGATGAAATCATGCTGGGGCAGGTCACCTTTGATACCCCAGAACGGTTCACCAAAAACATCTGAACAATGTTTGCAGCTTATGCACATAGCTAGGATATTTCCCTTCTGCAAAGCTTTAATCTACAAACGCACATCTTTTAACAGAGGAATAAAGCCGTACACCTCAAAACGATAAAAATGAATGCTGAATGATATCTCTATAAAAATCAACAAAGAACCCTTGTTGGTTCTTTTCCAACTCAGCTCAGTGGCTCTTCCTTTCTTGCATGTGGGACAGGGGGAATTCTTCCCACTTATACCCCTTCTAGATTTCCTTGCTTGCAGGGACAAGCCAATTGGAAGAGGGGCCTTAAAGATTCTCCACATGCAGAGCAAGCTGCTTTTTCAAGCAAATGTTTTAATGTGTAGCCTAGTTCTAGCCCACGATTCAGACCACAGAATGCCACAGTAGTGAATGACAGGCACTGACCTTTACAGAACATAAAAAGGAATGCGCTGCAATGCACACAAAATTATTAGATCGGCAACCACTTGCTCAACAGCTCACCTGGATCATCTTGGCTGTTTGTGTCGGTATCTGTAGCAGATGACCCCGCCTCTTGTACAGGACTCCTGCTTTCTGAGCTCTCCCAGGACAGCAGCATCTTCTGTGGATCCAAAGTAGTTCTAAGAATGGGAACAAGGGTAATAAGAAAAGACCTGGTGGCTCAGACCAACAGCCTATCTAGTCCAGCTTCTTGTTTCCCTCAGCAGCCAGACCAGAAGCACCAGCAGAACATGAGTCCGTAAGTAAGAACATCCCTCTCTCAAGCCCTGGCAACTCTGATGCTGTGACCCTGGGAAGAAGCACTATTTGAAAGCAGGTTGTGACCAGGGAAGTCCCCAGAATCTGAGCAAATATAAACTGGTTTGAGTCATGGATCTTAGGCTTTATATTCCAGCTTTAATCAGTGAGGCTGTCACATTATTATTTTAATAAGCTATTTTGACAAGGACCGGTGGCTTTTAGCTAATAATAAGCAAGGCTATTGAAAAGTTAGTAAAGGTAAAGGGACCCCTGACCGTTAGGTCCAGTCATGACCGACTCTGGGGTTGCGGCGCTCATCTCGCTTTATTGGCCGAGGGAGCCGGTGTACAGCTTCCGGGTCATGTGGCCAGCATGACTAAGCCGCTTCTGGTGAAACCAGAGCAGCACACAGAAACGCCGTTTACCTTCCCGCCGGAGCGGTACCTATTTATCTACTTGCACTACGTGCTTTTGAACTGCTAGGTTGGCAGGAGCTGGGACTGAACAACGGGAGCTCACTCTGTCGCAGGGATTCGAACCACTGACCTTCTGATCAGCAAGCCCTAGGCTCAGTGGTTCAACCTACAGCGCCACCTGTGTCCCTATTGAAAAGTTAAGGGCCACTAAATTCAATTGTATTTATTCCCAGTTGTGTATATGCACACGACTATCCTGACTTTCTTAAATAGTACAACTCACAAGACACACCGATATTGAGGTCCTAACGATATGCACATCTGTTGGGCATCACAAAGTGGGGCACAGTCTCAAGCAACAATGTGCTCTCCTAAGCCCTCTTTCCCAGCATGTTCACAACTCCTGTCGCAGCGACATCTATGCTGGCTTGGTCACGTCTACAGAATGGAAGAGGGCAGGATCCCCAAGGATGTGCTCTTTGGGAAGCTTGTTTCAGGCAGCAGGCCTGTTGTTGGCAGAACACATACTTACTTCAGCCTGTTTATTGATGGGACATTCCGCCAGGATGCATGAAGATTGTCCAGATTTATTACTTGGCCCTTTTTGTGGGCAAACCCTAACCGGCAATACATGGAGACAGCATTCTAAAGTGAAGACAACATTTGCAAATCAGCACTTTGCATTCTTGTTTCACAATTTCAAAAGAGATAAAACATGTGTGCAACGAAGGGTTGCCCCACCTCCACACACACACGCTTTAAGCAGCAACACAGGAGGCCTACCTTCACTAATGACAGATCTATCTCCAGGACATTTGCAAGCTGAAAGGATAGAAGGCAAAAGGTTACCGGTAATTCTCAAAAATCAAATCCAATGCGTTCATCTGCACAACCTCCTGCCACCTGCACAAGTGAGACATATGAGCGCTAAGCTTTAGGTACAGGTCCCAAGGAGTTAGCCAAGACATAATCCCAATCCCCCCTTATGTGGAGAGTTCGCATGAAGTTAATTTAGCATGTATTTTCCTGACAGATGCCTGGAAGCAGGGCACAGAGAAATGTTGAAACAATGACTTACCTCGGCCACGTTTGTGTGTTCATCTATTGAAACAAATATCTTGTACAACAAGGTTTCAAAATAGTCACCCTGCACTCTGTTCATAACGAAACCTTCAAGTGGGGGAACTGAAAAGAGAAGCCATGTTTAAGGTTGTGATTGAAGGATATAATTTAGTTGTAAAAAAAGGGGTCCGGCCCTATCTTTGCTTATTAATTATCAGCATTAAAATGTTTATTCCTGCATCTCTCTCTCGAAGAAATCTGACCTAGAGAACAGAGACTCACACCAAGCTAATGAGATACTTTGATCTTTCAAATTACATTTTATAAAACAGGAATTTTATGGTCCCGTACATCTGTGGTCTAAACCACAGAGCTTAGGGCTTGCCGATCAGAAGGTCGGCGGTTTGAATCCCCACGACGGGGTGAGCTCCCGTTGCTCGGTCCCTGCTCCTGCCCACCTAGCAGTTCGAAAGCACATCAAAGTGCAAGTAGATAAATAGGTACCGCTCTGGTGGGAAGGTAAACGGCATTTCCATGTGCTGCTCTGGTTCACCAGAAGTGGTTTAGTCATGCTGGCCATGTGACCCGGAAGCTGTCTGCAGACAAACGCTGGCTCCCTTGCCCAGTAAAGCAAGATGAGCGCCGCAACCCCAGAGTCGTCCATGACTGGACTTAACAACCGTCTCTTTACCTTTACATCTACCAGACATGTCACACTTTAAATCCCTTTTAACCACCAAGGTCTACATCTGAGGTACCTACAAAAGTGCTGCCATTTAATCTTATTTTGCATTTTTATTGTGGCAAAACAAATAGAAATTTGTACTTTTAACCATCACTACAACCCTCATCTTACACACAGTCCCATTTTAATCCACACTCCAACTCCTCCTTTGTCACAACTTTGCTATTCAATCCACTCCTGAACATATAGCACCCTTTGTTCTGAAAGTAGTGACTCCACACTTACCTGCTATACAACTGTCATCCGATATTGGTACATCAAGGTAAATAAAGCCTTTATTATATAAGCCTACAGAAAGAAAAACAATGTCACTATACAAAAAACACAAAAACCCCATCAAACTTAACATTATACCATTACGCATAGAGAGCACTATAGAAGCTAAGCATGTGCCACAAAACTGCATGAGAAGTATTCACGACATGTGTTATACAAGTAACTTGCAATTTATGTGCATTTAACTAACATGATCGCAGCTTTGCACGGGTGGGAGGAAATAAAAAATGTTCAGGGCTCGAGAGAAGTTACACTGGTCAGGATTCAGGCAACTTATGAAACTACTCCCAATTCCACATGACAAAACTACTTTTGAAATTTTGTGATACAGCATAGCATATTTCTAGTAACAAAAAGCAAAAATTTCACTGCTTTAGTGTGAATCCCTTGCAAAAGTTGCTTGGATTCTAGCCACTGTCGGAAGTATAACCTCAGGCATATCTTATTACTCTTCTGTTTAACAAAACAAAGCAAAACTCACTGTGAACTATACTGTAATCCAGAGATCCAGCAAGCTGAGGACCTGAATCGATTATCTTATCGATAGCAGATTTTTCAGAGGTAGTGCAAATCTAGAGAGAAAGGTACATATTAAATCACACATTTGGAGTAACTGACAGATCTTTATTAGTCCATGCAGCTTTCAGACTGAAAAGTTTGACAATGATGAAGTATAACAACCCACACAGTATTATGTGTCATTTTCCATAAACACTTAAGGAGTCCTACTTGCCCTTATGTTGGATGCTGTTTTGACTGCCACAGCTAGCATCACACACTGAAAATATAAAGCAACGATTCATTTTCTGTAAATACTGTAAGTGCAGTAACTGCAAAGTAACTGTGAAATACCTTTGACGCAAGAACTTCTTGTGATAGTGGCAGTAAGTATTTACACATTCCTGATTTAGAGGGTGAAGCGAAAGTATATAACCTGAAATGGGATCCTAAACAAATTTACTCAGAAGTAATTTCCGCTGCCCTGGAAAAGACCCTGATGTTGGGAAAGATGGAGGGCACAAGGAGAAGGGGACGACAGAGATGGTTGGACGGTGTTCTCGAAGCTACCAGCATGAGTTTGACCAAACTGTGGGAGGCAGTGGAAGACAGAAGTGCCTGGCGTGCTCTGGTCCATGGGGTCACGAAGAGTCAGACATAACTAAGTGACAACAATTTCCACTGTGTTCAAATGGATTTACTCCCAAGTAATTGTGTACAGGATTTCTGCCTGACATTTATGCAGACTGATTAATTTTTGGGTTTTTGTGTGAAGATACCTTTATGTCGTCCTCTGTGATGTAACCAGCTTGTACCACCCACCATGGCTCTATTGCAATCTCAACTGGCTTCGTGGGTAGCAGATCACGGGCAGTTTTCCTTCTGAAGAATTTCTGAAGGGGTACAGTCCATTCGTGAGAGACAACAAGGAAGTAACCAAATTATTATAAAGCAGAAGTAACTAACAAGTGCTCATATTTCTGGATATGGCACACTCAGGTCTTTAACCCTCTCAAACAACGTACTATAACAAGCATGGGGAGGGGAACTGTGCCACTTTTCATCATTAATCCTGAGAAACAGGTTGTGCAATAAATTTACAGACTCTTTCAGTGCTTTTTTATAAAAAAATATGCAGGATAAAATTAAGACTTAGATTCTAGAAAGATGTTTCAGTTCTGTTTTTTGCTTGTATTTCTTTCTCTCTCTCTCTCTCTCTCTCTCTCTCTCACACACACACACACACACACACACTCCAGGGGAGGGGAAAGTTTTGGTTTTTAAAAAAAAACAGTTATTTGCATTTCTGCAATATCAAGGTTAAGCTCACATAATGCACTCTAGGGTAAGGATGCCACGACTGATGACACAACTCTAGACATGTAATGGATGCCAGGCACTCAGTGATTGCTGTTTATAATGCCAACTCTAAGCAGCTGCACATAAATCTCTGGACATAATTCATGGATTTGCTTTTGCTCTATAAAGACCTCAATGCCCTTAGATTAACATTTCTAGAGGGTTGCTTTCTTCCGCTATGTTTCATCACATCCTGCAAACTCAGGTGAGAACCGCTTGCTATTTACTTTCCATGTATCACGCACACAGAACAGGGATACACTGAATGAGACGATATGATGGCTTGGCATTGAAAGCCTGCAGAACATCCATTTAATGACTCTGAAGAAGAAGAAGAAGAGTTTGGACTTGATACCCTGCCTTTCACTCCCCTTAAGGAGTCTCAAAGTGGCTAATAATCTCCTTTTCCCTTCCTCCCCCACAACAAACACTCTGTGAGGTGTGTGGGGTTGAGAGACTAGCCCAAGGTCACCCAGCAGCTGCATGTGAAGGAGCGGGGAAGCGAACCCAGTTCACCAGATTACAAGTCCACCGCTCTTAACCACTATACCACGCTGGCTCTCTGGTAACGTCCAGAACAAATTACAGTGGTGCCTCGCAAGATGAAATTAATTCGTTCCGCAAGTTTCTTCGTCTTGCGGTTTTTTTCGTCTTGCGAAGCACGGTGTCGGAAAAGTTTTGGAAAAGCTTCAAAAATCACCAAAGTCTTCAAAAACCTCAAAAAAGGCTACCACACTGCGTGCTATGAGTTGCTCCTCGAAGTCAAGTCGCAACTGTATTAACGGTTTTAAGAAAAGGAAACAAACTTGCAAGACGTTTCCGTCTTGCGAAGCAAGCCCATAGGGAAAATCGTCTTGCGAAGCAACTCAAAAAACCAAAAACCCTTTCGTTTTGCGAGTTTTCCGTCTTGCGAGGCATTCGTCTTGCGAGGTACCACTGTACTGCAATATGTTATACATGGGACACAACTGCCTTTTAAAACTGCTTGAAAACAGGTTAGCTCAGAATACAGCAGCTTTTGCCAGTCCCAATTCAACTGGGTCCTTTCAGAGCACAGCTTAAAAGTGCTAATGCTAAAGCCTTAAATCAGGGATGGGGAATCTGTGGCTCCATAGATGATGCTGGACACTAGGGACACAAAGGTCATCCCTGACCTTTCACCACATGAACAGGAGCTAATAGGAGTTTGAGTCCAATGACATCCGGAGGACCAAAGGCTGGCTTTTCCCCGCCTGCATTTCCTGCGTACTCATCTCTTCAACAGAGGCTCTTCTTTGGGCTCTCCCAGCTTCTGAAGCAAGGTAAGTGCATATTTATGATGCATATCCTCCGGCACCCGGAAATAACATTTTTTATACACTGTGTACCATTTTCTATTACAGAGGATGTTAAGCTTGAGACTAAGGCAATCCAGAAGGGTTTTTGGAGATCAGTGGCACAAACGACCCATTATGCCAAATTACGAAGATTATGGAAGGTGCCACTGGGTTTTGCTCCCCTCAGTATACGACTAGTTAATTTTTCTGCTAGGGCTGCAACCCACACTTTGGAAAACCAAACTTGGTCCAAATATTAGATCACATTGAAGAGAGGAGGGAGGGGAACCGTGAACACCTACTTTGGATGATCTACACTGGTTCATTAGGTCAATGTACTGGTTTCTTCCTATGCCAAGAAGTCTCAGGCCTGGGGGGGAAAGGAAGTTTTTAAGTCCCTCAAAACAGAGTTATAAAACTAGTCTGAGCCAAAGGAACATTATTGCATAGTACTGCTTTCATATGTTGCTTTGCAGACAAACAGCAGAATTTTCAGAAAGGCTGGTAGATGCATCATGTATGAAAAGATGAATTTGAAGCCTGCCACTTGCTATTCAATTGGATATTCTCATCCGGGCAGGCACAAGAGACAGGGCCTATTACGTGGTGGCCCCCAGATTATTGTCCTCCCCTTTAATATCCACACCACAGATTTTTTAAAAGGTTTTAAAACATGACCTTTTTCAAAGCATCTTTTCTTAAATCAGTTATTTTTTTCTTCCAACTGGTTTTTAACTGGCCTTTTTAATAACTCTGTTGCACTTCTATAGTACTGTGAGTCATCTTGGATGTGTTACGCCCCCCAATCGGGCATTTAAATGATTTTATAAAGAAAAATATACATCTAAATAATTTTCATGTATTTTCTACAAGCATGCATATTGTCCTGAGCTATCCTCTTATCACACATTTGTATCATACAGTTTTAGCCTTAAATAATTTCATCCTTGACTGGAAAGATGCCATGAAATTCCATCCAAAGCACCCTCACAAATGGAAACATTATTAGATTACCTGGAAACATAAATTGCTTCCTCTTAAGCCCTATGCAGCCCTGAGGTTTCAGACAATGCATGCCCTTGTTACCGTTTTTATCAAAGGCAACCCATAATCTTAGGGGCCACACCTATGGCAAGATATGCCAGGATGAGCAGTTTAGGATGCAGAGGTCGCCAGCTCAGTCATGCTCAGCTGGCATAAAGTCCCCAGCCCCAGAAAAGCAGCATGAACTTGCTCATCCTGGCTCAGCCTGAGTCGAAGCTAGTGTAGGCCCTAAAAAAGGAAGGTGTTGTGGGGGCATGGTGGAGGCAGGATGGGGTGCGGTGGGGGACTTAAGATGGACCCTGACTCTGTGCAACTCAGCCTTGTGTTCTGGCAAAAAGGGTAGTGTAAATCAAATACTATTTTAAATCCTGTTCTTCCTCTGACAGACTTGGGCCAGCTCAGCCAGAAGTAGTCTTCCTCTTGAAGGGCAGGTGGATCTGGCGTAACTTAACGTCAGCTTGTTTAATGTGTCTTGTGTATAGGATCGCTCTCTTAGCAGTTGTATTGGAACTGTGGGCTTTAGATCTGCATTTGGCGCAGCAAGAAGGGGTTATTTATGTCACCATTTGGTCTGCCTCTGTAATAACAGTGTCAAAAGTGACAACTGGAAGATGGGTAGCCTCAGAAGTGAGCAAGTCATCAGAAGTTATCACTGTCTCCCTCCTGTAGCTGAAAGACCAGCAATTCAGAAAACCAAGTTAATGGGAAGGATAAAGACATTATAATTTACACACTGGTTCATTTACTCTCAAGAATTACTGTGCCAACAGCTATCTCTGTTAAAGCTAATGTGCTGCACTGCTAAATGGGTAAAGTGGAACAATTTTAAGTTATGTAAATGCAATTCTTATGGCCTATTGCTGAGGCAACAAGTAATTATTAGAAAAGGACATGCTTAACTTGTGGGTTAGTGTTTTATTTCCATAACTGGTTTGGGGTAATTTTTTTTATCAGTATTTTTTTTGTTCTCTTTTCAAACATCAGGCATGTAACCCCCACAATTAAACAAACATTACAACTTCAAAAAGGAATTGTCATGCAGCTGTGCTTTTAAAACTAGACTTTCTTAAAACATGTTTTCCAAATGGAAATTTGTTTAGCTTGTGGAAGCAGAATGAAATCTTATACTTACAGTCTGCAGCAGTAAAGTTGGGCAAACAATCGTAGCTTTTTTCACTGTTCATTATATCCTTTACAAAGGAAAAGGAAAAGTTGCAGTGTCAGCTTGACTCACTGTACTTCTTCATTTCACAACTGTGCACTGATGCTACATCAGTAAATATTTGAAAACTACTTTGCACCCAAACCCCAGTTTATGGAGGCTTTGTGTTTTTCCATTAGCTTGTTTGTTTGGTTTGTTTGCTTGCTTGCCGGGGAGGGGAAAGGAGAGGAAATGGAAGTCTATTGGATGTAACCTAGGGAAAACAAAATTCTAACTCAAGGATCTAAAATAAGATGCACAAAATGAAGTAGATTTTAGGAAAAACTACAACCAGATCTAGATATGCACAGAGTGTGTCCTATTCATTTCAACTGAGAAAAATGATGTGAACACAACAGTAATGCATTTCAGGGCTTCCCTCACCAAAATACATTTGGAGACGGGAGGGGGAGCAGAGAGAGTGAAAAATGGGGGTGGAATTGTAGTGATCCATCTCTACAATGGCACAGGTCCCATGCTCAGAACCGATTGCTGGATTGAGGCACAGGAGGCATGTGAACCTCACGATCCTCACGCCACTGATTTTGGAGCTGCCCTGCATAAATTTCAACGGATCTCTATCGGTGTTCCAAGGACATAGTGTGCATAGGTTTTCCCCTTTCTATTTCATCTTCGCAAACACCTTGGGAGGGCTTGCCCAAAGTCACCCAGTAAACTTCATGGGTGAATATGAAAACATGTACCCATTATGCACCAGCTCTGGGATTATTCCAGTTTGGTGATTATGGTAGATATACTGTAGCCAAGACATTAGATGCTACAGGAACAGCCATCACCAGCAACAGAAAGAGACAGGACTAATGGATTATTCTCTTCTGTGGTATCTTTAAAGGTCTTTAGGGTAATCCTAGACCCAGTCACCTTGCAGCGTAGCAAAAGGTTGTAATGGAAATGCATTTGAAGAACGGCAGACCAAGAATAAATCACCTCCCTGAGCTCACTGAAGGACTGGAGATAATAAATATAACAGCAGCTCCACTTGCTCCATGCAAAATGCTGCTTTAGCAATACCACTAACCAAGTGTGCTCTACTGCAGTCCAAGGATGGAGGCAAAGATGGCCTATTTTTGTGGAATTCAGTGGCAAAACTCTCACTAGAAGCAGCAGGGCACAAACTACACATTACCAGCAATTATCAATCAAATCTGCACCACGCTACACATTGTTTCTCCCATATGTTGAGAGGTGACTCAAGCGCTGTTTGCTGCTTTCTCTGAATAGAAGTTTGCAAGCTCCTTCATCAGAGTAATTTGGCTGCAAGCCCAAAATGCCACTGCAAATGGTGACTGCGTTTCCTGCCGCTGATTACCAACAGCAGCCTGGCAGAAAGCTAACAATAATGGGCATGTGACTCCAGCTGGCAGGGATCATGTTACACTGAAATGCCACAAACTCCTGGGACGCACAAAATGCCTTGTTTAAGCATTTATCTAAACTCACCTCCATTATTCCTGTGTAATACGAAAAGGGGGTTATCCTCAAGCCTTTCACCATGATGTCAGACAAGTGGTATGGGTATAACATGAGGTGCTCTCTGCTGTATTTCAACAGTTCCTCGTAGTATCTGCGCTCATCTTTTTTGACATGCTTGACTGGGAGAGTAAAGAAGGGTCAGCAGGTTGTAGCAACAGTCTCCACAAATCAGTTAGAAATGCTAAGAATTTCACGGGGTGTGAACTTGGGACAGGTTCCAGAGCAAACCTGAAGCTCCATTTGCGCAGAGATTTGGAGCATGCTCTGTGTATCCACACAAAAGGGGGAGGGAGAACGCAAAGAGAGGAAGCTATTCAAGTATGCTGCACTTCATGGCACAAAAGAGGACATCCTATGCCATATACTATTCCTATTGCAAATGCAATATCATTATTTGATACCGAGTTAGTTCCCAACAATCCAGTCTGAAAAAGAAGGCAGCCAACTAGCAAAGCTCTTCAAGTACAGTGGTACCTCGGGTTAAGTACTTAATTCGTTCCGGAGGTCCGTTCTTAACCTGAAACTGTTCTTAACCTGAAGCACCACTTTAGCTAATGGGGCCTCCCACTGCCGCCGCACGATTTCTGTTCTCATCCTGAAGCAAAGTTCTTCACCCGAGGTACTATTTCTGGGCTAGCGGAGTCTGTAACCTGAAGCATATGTAACCTGAAACGTACGTAACCCGAGGTACCACTGTATGTCCATTTTGGAATAAAGAACTTGGAATAAGCTCGTATGGGGCTGCTGGGCAGTCTGTGGCATGGGGAATGGCCCTATGCAATCTTCCAGACACTTCCTGAAGCTGCCCTGTTCATCCATCTCATCGGTGTCCCCCTTTCCCCTGATAATTCCCTTCTTATTTTTCTTGGCACTTTAAAGTGTTTATTAATACAAAAATGACCAGTAGTGGTAGTACAATTTTACTGAATTCCAGCTGAGGACAGGTTTCTCAGATGTAGCTGTTACATATGACAATATCTGTTTTCAAAAGCCCTTTCCCCCACTCTGTTTCTCTACTCACCTAAGTTATTTCGGTACCGTAGCTGATTGCGAATACTATAGAGCACAACCTGCTTTTCATAGTCTCGCTGTGAGTTTCCAAGCCCCTACGAGACAAAGCATAGAAATTTAACGAAATGAGTAAGGGAGCAATCCTGTACACAAGAAGCTGACGTAGAACAGACTGGTGTAATTTAACGTGGTGTAAAGTTACACCAGATCCACACTCCAGTCAGCAGTCGGGCTACCGCTGGCTGAGTCAGCCTAGGCCTAGCAGAGAAAAAACAAGCCTTTAAACTAGTGTTTAGAGTTGTACCACCCTTTCTACCATCTTAACTTATGCCAAGTCACATGACAGAGTTGCACAGGCTTAGGATCTTCCCTTTCTGCTCCCACACACAGAACATTCCTTTTCCAGGGTTTACACTGGATTAAGATCTGCTGGGCTTGGCTCAGGTAATTGAGGCCTGGCTGAGCCAGGATCAGCTCACATACCTACATCTGAGCCAAGGATGAGGGAGTTAAGCCAGCTCAGCTGCAGATGTGCTGGGTCCTAACCTCCTCATCCTAGTCGATCTTGAATGCTGGACCAGTTGTTGATCCTCAGCCCAATAGGTAAATTTACAGCTCAGCCTTTCTGAAAGTTGAACTATAAGATTACCCTTCAAGAGTTTTATCAAGCAACTTGGCTTAGACCATGAATCATCTGACCTATACACATAAAAGTGGTGCTTTTGTAGTTCTACGGATAATTAACCAACACAAACCAATACAAAGCTCCTGCAAGAAACTAAGAAGTACATTAGCTTTGTAAATAAGCCCACAAAAAGTGATCAGCCTGGAAAAAGAATCTACTAGCCTGCCGGGGACTGGCAAACGAGACACAGAAGGGACCACCCCACCACCAGATTTGTGCAGGTGCCTATGGCCTTAATACACCATCATTTCCCTAATGCAGGACTAGAGAACCTGTGGTCCTCCAGATATTACTAGACTAAAACACCAATCATCCCTGACCAATGGTCACACTGGTTGGGACTGATGGGAGTTGGGATTGAGCAACACCTGGAGAGCTACAGCTTCCTCATTCCTACCCTAATGTGACATGGGAAGAGTGCTGCTTTGCCCTCACATAATTGGTATTTGAACTTTCCACACCACTGCTTTTTCCTTTTGTATTGTGCCTGTAAGATTGTGAGTATCTGGGCAGATTGCTTCGTATTTTAATCTCCATACAGCATATCAAACATTTCAGGCAAATTGCAAGTGATAGATAACAATGTTTTCCTATGTGTGGCTTTTGAGGTAGGTCAGAGGCATACTGTAGCTCAGTGGAAGATCCCATGTTTAGCAGAAATAAGCTCACATGTTCAGCCACTGGCATCACAAGTTAAAAACACCTCCAGCAAGATGGCCTGGAAAAATTTGGGAAACGGCTGCTAGCCAATCAAAAGGAAAATACAGAGCTGGATGCGCTAAGGCTCTATATCACAAGACAACTTCATATGTTCATATGCTGCTTAGTCTCATAAAAACCAGTGTAAAGCAATTCGAGTGTTGCCCTAGACCACACACACACACACATCTTCAATTCTTCACTTCCTGTGGGTGTTCACTAGCCCAGTGTTTTTCAGCCTTTTTTGGGCAAAGGCACACTTGTTTCATGAAAAAAATCATGAGGCACACCACCATTAGAAAATGTTAAAAAAATTAACTCTGTGCCTATATTGACTATATATAAAGTAATTCTCTTGAATAGGAATCAAATAAACACAAAGAAAGTATTTTATAATTACTTTATTATGAAATAGTAAGTAAACAGAAATATAAAAAATTATAAAATACTTTATTCAGTGTGCAACCTGGGCCTGTTTGGCTGAACACAAAGCTGATATTCTGGCTCGAATCGAAGAAAGACACATACGTAGCTCTTCGTCAACAGCTCTCAGTCTCTCTCTGTATTTAGTTTTTATAGCAATCATGCTTGAAAAGCTCATCTCACACAGATATGTAGTGGAAAATGGGAGCAATGTCAAAATAGCTTTGTTTGCCAGAAGGGGAACTCCTTGGCAGTATCCAACCAAAAACTGTCCAAAGGTAGATCAGCAAATCTTAGCTTGAAACCACGATTTTGTCTCAGTTCAGTTAGTTCCTCCTGCTCCTGTAAAGTCATGTCCTTTCCACCAACTGATGCTGACTTATAAGGGTCCCTAACCCAGTCAAGGCATTCAGTGGAGACTGAAGAGAAATAAAATGACAACTTCTCCGGTCCTCCTGGTGACTCGAGTCGCGACGTCTTCTTCTCTCCGCTGCTGCGCACACTGTGCTCGGGCGGGAAGGAAGTCAGAAGATGATGTCCTACTGTGATAGGTCCAGGCTGGAGTCTGGACCAATCACAGCCCGGACATCAGAAAAGTGGAGGGTGTCCCCCTGAGGAGCGCCAATCGGCGCCCCTGCTGGCCGAGGGTGGGGTCAAACCCCCCCCATACCCAGGACACAGTCCGGCGCCTGCCTAGTGGGCGAAAATTTGATTATTGTTTTTTTAATCTTTCGAATTTTTCAATTTTTCCCATGGCACACCAGGCAACATCTCACGGCACACTAGTGTGCCGCAGAACAGTGGTTGAAAAACACTGCACTAGCCTACGTCATAGGACATTCCTGAAGAAAAAAAATGTGCCTCCCGATCTCTCTGGAGGAAAGCTTGAATTAAAATAAACAGGTACAACAGAATAATAGCATTAGACTACAGCACGGTGCAGACTTCAGAACCTTGCTATTCAACTAAGCAACTCAGATCAGACCAACTGAAATTAATGGACCTAACTCAGTAATGCTCATTAATTTCAATGCGTTTACTTTGAATAAAACTTAAAACAAATGCTCAAAATCCTATGTCAACCCAACCAACTGGGGTCAGCTACAGGGGGGTACTGAACATGCACTAAAAATCAAGGAACAGGTTGTCCCTCAGCACGCACCAGAAATTTGCTTTTAGCATTTGAATGGAGTTCACTGCACTTTCACACAAAAATCCACTTCTACCTTTCCTCTCCAAGGTTTCTTCACTTCAGCAACCTAATTTAGAGCCTTGTTGTTGCAAATGCTTTAAAAAATGAAGAATGGAAAATTCCATATTGGCATGGTTCCCATATATTACCTAGGTAAAATAGAAGTAATATCAGACCTCCAGCCACACATGCTCACTTAGGGAGGGGCTATGTCACAGATAGTTCAAGCCTTGGCAATGCATCCACTGATTCAATTATTTGACAATGTCTCCGCTCAGTTTTCCTTCTTATGTGATTGACGTATGCATGCACTGTAATACACTACAGGTTTTGATGAGGTTGATCAATGCCATTTTATTACAATACAGTGGTACCTCGCAAGACGAATGCCTCGCAAGACAAAAAACTCGCTAGACGAAAGGGTTTTTTCTTTTTTGAGCTGCTTCGCAAGACGATTTTCCCTATGGGCTTGCTTCACAAGATGGAAACGTCTTGCAAGTTTGTTTCCTTTTTCTTAACACCGTTAATACAGTTGCGACTTGACTTCGAGGAGCAACTCATAGAACGCGGTGTGGTAGCCTTTTTTGAGGTTTTTAAAGACTTTGGTGAGTTTTGAAGCTTTTCCAAAACTTTCCAGACACCGTGCTTCGCAAGACGAAAAAAATCGCAAGACGACAAAACCCGCGGAACGAATTAATTTCGTCTTGCGAGGCACCACTGTACCAGTGAAATTTTCTACAAAAAACGACGAAAGGAAACACTTTCAGATCTACTGCAAAAGATCTACTAGTGCTGTAGATCCTCATCTGCCTTCTGTTAACCCCCATGTTCAAATTAATCACAATATGCATACAACTGCCTGCAGGAAAAATGTGGTTGGCTGGCCCTGAAAAGTTGCAGAAGTTTGAGCAGGTGAGGGTGGGCCAAAGTTCAACAAGCTTGACAACAAACATTGACTTGGCAGTACCTGTCCTAATACTGGGGAAGAGGAGAAAATGGTGAAGAAAAGTTAGCATTTTAGTCTTATCGGGTTGTTTTATTTACTGCATTTTGTGGCACATCTAACATTATGAATGTATATTGGATACAGATGTACAGGGGCCAACTTGAATAAATACTGGGGGGAGGCCAGATAAGTCTTGCCACGCATAATCATTCACATGACACAGTGCACACACACCATTTAAATGGGAATGCCCAACAACTTGGTGGGGTCCGGCCCCCTCAAATATTTTATCGTGGAGGTCGAAACCCCCACAGCCCCTAGAAGTTGGCTCCTATTGCAATGTTGCATCCACGTGAAAGACAGTAGTGCAGAGATGATTTTAGCTAACTAACAAATGAACAAACAAGTACCTGGGAGGAAAAAGTTTCTACACACCAGGTGTGAAAAGGGTAATTTGAAGTAGATCAGCCCGCTCCCCATTCCCCCACTACACTGCTGAAATGAATTAAACGTTGGGGTAACTAGCAATGGACTTAGAATCACAGAAATGTGGAGCTGGAAGGTTCCACGAGGGTCATCTAGTCCAACCCCCTGCAATGCAGGAACTCAACTAAATCATACATGACAGATGGCCATCCAATCTCTGCTTAAAAAACCTCCAAGGAAGCAGAACCTACCACCTCACCTGGGAGTTTGTTCCACTGTCCAAAAGTCCCCACCCTGATGTTTAGTAGGAATTCCTTTGCTTGTACAGTGGTACCTCGGGTTAAATACGCTTCAGGTTAAATACGCTTCAGGTTAAATACGCTTCAGGTTAAATACACTTCAGGTTACAGACTCCGCTAACCCAGAAATAGTGCTTCAGGTTAAGAACTTTGCTTCAGGATAAGAACAGAAATCGCGCAGCAGCGGTACAGTGGTACCTTGGGTTAAGTACGTAATTCGTTCCGGAGGTCCGTACTTAACCTGAAACTGTTCTTAACCTGGAGTACCACTTCAGCTAATGGGGCCTCCTGCTGCCGCTGCTGCATGATTTCTGTTCTCATCCTGAAGCAAAGTTCTTAACCCGAGGTGCTATTTCTGGGTTAGCGGAGTCTGTAACCTGAAGCGTCTGTAACCCAAGGTGCCACTGTAACATGAAACCCACTAGCCTCGGGAGCAGAAGAGAGCTGGGTTCAAGTTCTGCTGCTCAAAACATAAAAAACCCGAATGGGCTTAGCAGGGGGCTCAAGCCTTCGCCCTTGGCGGAACCTCGGACTTTTTAGCAAAGCACGAAAACGGAGCCTGAGGAGCCTGAAGTCACCTATCTGACCCCGCTTTTACTGGAGAGCAGACCCACTGAAATCAATGGGCTTGTCCCAAGTTGGGTCCATTGCCCGCCCCCGTCTCGCTCTGAAGCGAGATCCCACGGAGCTCCTGCTACCCAGAAGGGGAAGCGAAAGTGATGGCCATTGGCGGGGTACGGGAAGCCAGAGGGGTCAGTTATAATAGGGAGCCGCTTTTCTACAGGTGCCGGGAGGGGTCAGTCCGTACCTGCTTGACGCTGGCGGGGAGGCGGGCCCAGGGGTAGTTGTGGCGAATGTGGAACTCCACGTCCACATTCATGGCAGGCTCCCCCGGCTGGGGTGGGAAGGCTCGGGGGCGGCGGTTGGCGGCGCCCCCCGCCCCTCACACAGCCTCAGCCCCGGGTCCTTGAGGAGCGACGCGGCGGCGGCGGCCCAAAGCTGGACCTTCGCTCAGCCCGCTCTCTCGCCTCTCCTCCTCCTCCTCCTCCCTCTCGTCTCCTCACAGCGCGCTTCCGCGTTACAGGCGCCGGGAGCCCCGCCCCTCCGCGCGACGTCCCTTCCGGTCCCCGCGGGCGGGAGGAGCCTCGGAGAGCCAAGGGAGTAGAACGCTCCTAAGAACCAATGGGATCAGTCCTCTCCTTCTCTACCCTCTCCCTCCTTTCTAAATCAGTACGCCAGAAATGAGAGGGCGGGGCTGGGGCTTTTAAAGCTGCGGACGCTCAACGTCACGGGCGCGTCGCTTTTGCGTCTCCGCCGCAGGCCGCTGTGAAACTACAAGCCCCATGGTGCTTTGCGAGAAACGACCTCCCATTTTTCGTTTGTGACGTGACAATTGGCAGCGTGGCTGAAGGGTTCGCCTGAGGGAACAAGGCCGCTTTATTTGTTTGTTTATTATTATTTATTGAATTTGTATACCGTCCTTCGTTTCAGTTGCATATCGCTTTATATTTTTAAATAAAGAACTCGAACCACATTAAAACATCAAATAAAACAAACCAGAATAAAGCAGTACTGAAGAAAATAAAATATAAATTTTAATTAACTTTGTTATCGAAGCAGCATAGTTAACAGGAAACTAAAATATTATTTTAAAGGTGTTTTTCTCTCCCCCCCATTGCTTTCCCTGGGGTTATTTCTGCATTGTATCATAGAATTGTTGGGAGGGACACTGTGGATCATCTAGTCCAACCCCCCTGCAATGCAGGATTCCTATAGTGGATTCCTAGAGTATAGATCTATAAATAGGCTTCAGCATGAGAACTAAAATGAATCACAGTGAATTGCAAGGTTGGAAGGGACCACAAGAGTTCTCTAGTCCACCCCCCTGCAATGGAGGAATCTTTTGCCCAATGTGGGGCTCGAATCCACAACCCTGAGATTAAGAGTCTCATGCTCTACCAGCTGAGCTGCCCAGTCATGCCTCTAACCCTACCATCATGCAATATTGATATATTATAATTACACCTCTTCCAGCTAGGGATGGTGTTCTGTCCATCTCCTGAGGTGGACTCTTGCCCAGGAAGCATATATGCCCTAACATGTCAGCTGGGCTCAAATGCGGCACCTGCTTATCTGAGAATAAGGCTCCATTGAACCAAATGGGGTTTATTTCTGAACAGACATTGCGTGTCTTCTCTGAGCTAAGCGCTGCTGAATTGAGGGATGTTGCATTCATTAGTCACTTCTCCATAAAGGGGTCTCAAAGTGGTTTATGGTGCAAAATTAAAACCAAGCAGAAGAGAGAATAAAATAAGATGTTGCAATGCTCGTCTGTAAATATGTGCAAAGGGGCAGGTCCAACCCACTAGAAAGAGGAGCCGGAAAGAATTCATACAAATAGGAAGACTTTGTTCCAATGCATATGGTGAGGGGTAATCCGGATTGGGACCACAACAGCATCAAAGAGCTTGAAAAACAACCCTTTCTGGATTGCCTGCTATTTGCCTGCTGGTCTATCTCCCTTAGCCTCATTTACGCAGGCTGACAGTGGCTCTCCAAGCTTTCAGTCAAGGGTCTCTTACAGCCCTACTTGGAAAGGATGGGGACTGAACCCAAGACCTTCTGCATGAGCCATGACCCTTCTTCATGCAATTAGTGTCTTGTCTAGTTTGGGCTTCGAATGCCCGTTGTTGACACTCTATTCATAACTCAAAGAAACATTGTGCAATGGCCAACGTATGGTAAAATCAGGTATGTTTCCTATGATCATCAAATAATACTTGGAATTTTCTTTTCAACCTGCAGGTGTCAGTCATTCGCTATTTTAATACTCACCAGTTGCAGGGAGAAGGCCCATCTAGAGATTGTTGATTCATTCCTGTGGAAAGTGGCGGTGCATTTGAAAGTGTGTGTTTGCAGTTGCGGACACTTGCCAAAGCTGCTCACTTATATTTAGACTTGTAGCTCTCCCTATCCTGAAGCCTAGACAACTGGCTTTAAAAGTTATGCATATCTATCGGAATGAAAATCTACAGACAAAATTCCCAAACTGAATGTGCCCTCTTATGTGCTCCATAAACCTTAGTGGTCTGCTTAGATGGGGCCAACGGTAGGGTAATCTGGCCTCGCCCATTCTTGCATAGCTACTATATGGCCGTCTATGGCTCTCTATTTAGGAAGGCCTTGGAATAAGATATTGCCAGATCTCAGCTATTAGACTACACCAACTGGCCTCTCTACCTCAGGGAGGTCCATCTGACAACTTTGCTGACATCATTTTGGCAGCGCCATTGAAGACTTACCTTTTTTGGCCTTTGATGGACTGAGGTGGTTTTGCTGAACTGTTAGCTTGGCGCCAAAGCTTCCTGTGGCAGTTGTGTGTGTGTGTGTGTTGCATCTGTTCTATATGTATTTCCACTGGTATAATATACCGTAAGTCACTTTGAGACCTTTTAAGTAATAAGTGACATGTTTAAATAACAATGATGGTGATAGGCTCCTTTATATACACATGTACCCTATAAATTTCAAAATTGTTCCTTCCTCCAAAATTCCTGTTTCAATGTGTTGTGCCACACAGCAGGTGGATTACACTAGTAGGACTGCAAGAAGTTTTGTAAAGTGGATTATCTGAAATATTACAAGAAAGATTATGAAAAGAATTATTAGTTAAGGCAATTAAATGCAATATAGAAATTAAGAAATGCAGAATAAGTGATAAAGAACGGAAAATCATAGAGGTGTTGACGGAAGTCTAAAACATTGTATAAGATGAGAAGATATGTTGTATGATTGTTGGAACTGATATGTTAAAAAAGCAATAAAAATGTATAAATATAAAAAAGGAATCCATCGCCCTGAATGGAGGAAACTAGAGGGCAGGGCAGGGCAAGCCTCTTCCTTAAATTTGTAAGAGAGGGTTAATTTGGGCTGCCCCATATGCCATATTAAGTCTTCAGTGCTAAATCACAGGCTACAAGCTCTGAGTTCAGGGATGTGGAACCTGTGGCCCACCAGATGACGTTGGACTCCAAGTACCATAAGCTCTGCTCCCCTGATCAGGGGATGATGGGAGCTGTAGTCCTGCAACATCAAAAGGGCCAGAGGTTCTCCATCCCTGCCCTGGTTCTTCTGTCATAATGTGGTTTAATTTTTTTAAACAACAATTACTACTCTTTCTTCATGCACATGATACGTTCCATTTAACTTCAGTAGCGCAGGCAGGCTCCTCCAAGGAAATGAAGTTGGCCCACTCATGGGGTGGCCACTTAATGCATCTCCTCAAAAGAGGAATTGCATCACCGAAGGAGAAAAGAAGACAAAAGAGGACATGTACTGTACTTGAATAAAAAGTGCATATGCTCATTCATATGTATAGATGCAAATTTGGAAATAATAGTTGTCATTGAAACAGAAACACATCTCGCCATAGTATATTTTGATCTGAATCCATCTTTTGATTCTTCAGAGTACTTAAGCTTAATTTGCTTGAACGACACTGAGTACCATCAGAATGTAAATGATCCAGCAGAAATGTCAGTGTGGTTCTTTGGGGACTTGATCATAACACGGAGCTAATAAAGTGAAGAGTCGCCCAAGCCCACAGACAGCATCATATATTAAATGTTACAGAACATTAACATTCCAGCGAACAAACCCATCAGTCTCTCTCTCTCATCTGTCTAACCTCCCACTCGGCTCAGAAGAAGACAGCAATTGAAGCTCAGTTCTCTTTCATTTTCCTCCCACACATCAGAAAGCCCATCCTAAAGGAATCGAAAACCAACACTTGAGGAAGTAGGATGTATCTTCCTTCACATACGAAGGAGTTCTCTTAATGAACTGTCTGAACCACATCCAGTTTAAAGATAAAAGATAATCAGAAAGGAGATCTTTCTTGAAGTTGCCCATCAACAGTTAGCACCCAAACTGTGGTGAAATATACTCCCATCTCTGTTTAAATGATGATATTTATTTCTGAATTTGCAGTGGTGCACAAAATTTATGCAAATCTGTGCCCTCTTTTTTGGCAATTCATAAGACATGGGTCGGCAATGCAGTTCCTGCCGTTGACAGTGTGCCCCTGTGTATCTGCTATGGGGCCTGAAGAAGGTCGTATCCATTTTGTGTTTTGCTACACCCCCACGGCATCCTTTTTGTGATATGCCACACCCCCAGGGTAGCCATTTTGTGACCGGTACCCATGGCACTTTCTCAGAATTCTAAATACTACCGTTGGCATGGTTGTCAACACCAGGATAAGTGGTCCTCCTATTGAGGTGAGTCACTAGGCTGGCAACAGACGACTGGCAGTTCAAGAGCATGTTACAGGGAGAATGCAAGAAGGAAGCAACAAAGCAGGACTTCTTTCCTGTTCGCCTGGTTCCTCCAGCCTCTGCTGCTGACTTGGAGGACCTCGATCTGGAGAATACACAGGCCAGGTCTGCTTTCTCCCCACTTCAGAGCCATGCTTAAGCCATACCCCCTGACTGATGCCTCAACAAGCAAGCATCTCTCTTCTTCAGCTGACCACATTTTTAATTGGCTTTTGTACACCTAGTGCTGGAAAACGCTCATAAGCCCAATTAACCAATTTTTCAGGCTGTCTCGTTACATAGTCTACAAAAAGTCTCTTGGGGAAATTGGTTTTTGAGTGGGCTGATGGCATGATAGTGTTGAGAATGGGGGAATATTAAGCTATTAAGATTAATAGCCTCCTCAGTTCCACCAAAAGAATTTGGAGCAGTTACGTTCTAAAGTTATCATACAGAAAGAGCCTGCAGCAGTTGTTTGTAGGTCAGCATTAAAACCTATGAAAGCAGTGCCTAAAATTCGATCAAATCCTGTATGATGGTGTCTTGTCAGTCCAGAGTTACTTCTTGTCTAAGGAGGCCTCTGCATGTTACCTTCTTCACCAACAGCATTCATAAACTTCAAAACAGATCAGGAAAGTTGGGGTGGAAGAGGCATTGCCAGATGCAGAACATGTTCCTGATTGTTCTGATCCGCCCACCAACTCCCCAAGTCTGTTGACTCTCTGTACAATCTGGGGCATTTCATAACATTTCCATATTTCAAACAGTAAAAACCAAGAAACCCTGAAAGTTGTTGAGCACCCCTAACATTTCAAGAACACCACAGGGTTCTTATATTAGACAAATTCACAAGGCTATCAATAGTTGTCTACTACCAGATGTCATGGGGGATGCGGGTGGCGCTGTGGGTTAAACCACTGAGCCTAGGGCTTGCCGATCAGAAGGTTGGCGGTTCGAATCCCTGCGACGGGGTGAGCTCCTGTTGCTCGGTCCCTGCTCCTGCCAACCTAGCAGTTCGAAAGCACATCAAAGTACAAGTAGATTAACAGGTACCGCTCCGGCGGGAAGGTAAACGGTGTTTCCATGCGCTGCTCTGGTTCACTAGATGCGGCTTAGTCATGCTGGCCACATGACCCAGAAGCTGTACGCCGGCTCCCTCGGCCAGTAAAGCGAGATGAGTGCCGCAACCCCAGAGTCGGCCACGACTGGACCTAATGGTCAGGGGTCCCTTTACCTTTACCTTACCAGATGCCATGGGCCAGAAGTCGGCTTCACCTGCTGAACCGCAGCCAGAAGGGAGAAAATGTGGGATGACTCCATTGGGCGCCACACTGCAGGGGGTGGCACTTACTGTAGGTCCTGCAACGTGCCCAAGCCATGCATCTCTCCTGGAAGTGATGAGGTGGCTAGGTGCCTGCAGGCTCCACGCTGCCTGAAACGACAGCATAGGGCTCGCGTGTGCCCACCGCCTCCCCCTCAGCCACCCTATAGCTGAGGGGGAGGTGGCAGCGAGGCTCCGTGCAGTGTGCCCTGCCCTGGCTTACCAATAATAATAATAATAATAATAATAATAATAATTTATTATTCATTCCCCGCCCATCTGGCTGGGTTTCCCCAGCCACTCTGGGCAGCTTCCAACAAAATATTAAAATACAATAATCTGTTAAACATTAAAAGCTTCCTTAGACAGGGCTGCCTTCAAATGTCTTTTAAAAGTCTGGTAGTTGTTTTTCTTTTTGATATCTGGTGGGAGGGCGTTCCACAGGGCGGGTGCAACCACTGAGAAGGCCCTCTGCCTGGTTCCCTATAGCTTGGCTTCTCGCAGTGAGGGAACTGCCAGAAGGCCCTAGGCACTGGACCTCAGTGTCCGGGCAGAATGATGGGGGTGGAGACGCTCCTTCAGGTATACTGGACTGAGGCTGTTTATGGTTGGCTCGCCTTGGCCCCAGGTGCAGGGCGTGCGCACTGCCCCGGGTGCCCAAGCAGCTAGCTACACCACTGCTTCAAGAACAGGAGTCGAAGGCACTGATGAGACCAGCTGGCTTCAGCCTCCATAAATAGAGCTCTCAGCAGCACTCAGATGCTAGCAACAGTGCCTGTGGTTCCTGACTCTACCGGGCTGTTTCCTACTTACCATCTGGGTCCTTGGCTCTGTGATCATCTGGATTCCCTGACCTCTGGACTGACTTTGTATATGGATTCTGCTCTCAAGCAAGTGTTCTTTGGAGACTCCTAGCCCCTGCTTGCTCGGCTGGGGCTGCGACACCAGAGGCAGTATGCTGGGGAACACTAGTGGAACTGCTACTCTTCCAACATCTTCCTTTAGCTCCATGTAAAAAGTAAAGTTAAAGGACCCCTGACAGTTAAGTCCAATTGCGAACGACTCTGGGGTTGTGGCGCTCATCTTGCTTTACTGGCCAAGGGAGCCGACGTTTGTCTGAAGACAGTTTTTCTGGGTCATGTGGCCAGCATGACTAAGCCACTTCTGGCGAAAGCAGAGCAGCACATGGCAATGCCGTTTACCTCCCTGCCAGAGTGGTACCTATTTATCTACCTGCACTTTGACGTGCTTTTGAACTGCTAGGTTGGCAGGAGCTGGGACCAAGCAACGGGAGCTCACCCCCTCGTGGGGATTCGAACCGCCAACCTTCCGATCAGCAAGCCCTAGGCTCAGTGGTTTAGACCAAAGCACCACCCGTGTCCCTCTTAGCTCTATGTACCAGGGAGAAAAAGGTAACTACTCTCATGCCTCATGACCAAGCGGGCAATGTGGGTGGAGGGAGGCAGCTCAGAAGCTTTCTGGGCACCTGGGGAAGATCTCAAGTGTGCCATTACTCCTATGGGTGCTATGTTGGCACTCCCTGCCATAATACAGGGGTACATAATATATAATACATCTGTTAGCCTTTAAGGTAGAACAAACCCCTTTGTTGTTTTGGCTGCAATAGAGCAATACAGTTCCTTTTGTTGACTGAAATATATACACACACGCAGTGAACATCCCTAAACTCAGGTTAAAGGATGAATCCATCTTTCAGAATGAGAAAAGTGCTCTCTTGGTACTCATTGACAATGTGTTCATTTGTGCATATCCTTTAATTAAAAAGAGCTGAATGGACAGTTTGGGACTTTCTATTAATCGAATCCATCCTATTGCACAGAGACAGGTTCCCACATACTCAAATAACGCTAAGTAATTAATCCGAAATAAGTAGCAGCAGTTGTTGCTTTTGCCACAAGTAGGGAGCACAGTTTAATTGAAGTCTGAAAGTGTCTTAATCGCAAGGGTCCTGTGAATGCCTGCAGCCAAACACAGCTAGTACAAGCACTAGAGACGGGCTGCTCTTATGCAGTCAGCAGGCAGAGGAAGAAAACATAATGGTGGCGAATGCATATTTGCTGAAGTTTTAATTGCTTTCCTTCCCCCA